TCTAGGACTGTGTGATGTATTTTCGAATGATGCGCGAATGATGCGTCAGGTGGCCTTTTGCAGTTGACAGATTATTATTATTATTATTATTATTATTATTATTATTCCAGCGAGGATAGGGACACAATCAGGCCTTTGTGCACTCAGACTGTGCCTTTTCCCACAGAACTATAGGTCTCAGAGTTTCAAGCAAAATATTTCCAGAGGAGTTTGCTTCATTGGCTGAGGAAGCTCTTCATGTTGCTGAGATCTTTGGGAACAGAGCTCTTGGGTTCAGGCTCCTCTGTAGCAAGCAGTCTTTGGTGGGAATTGAGCTCACTAGGACTAGTGTTCCAAGTGGACTGCTCAGTGGCAGACCATTACGAAATGTTCCTGTGGAATAAGGAAGCATCCTTTGCTTTGCCACCCCATCAGGGCTCCCTATTCCTGCCCAACCTTGCTGAGTTTGGCACAGCTTCTGCCTCTGCCTTTGTGGAGTTTGCTCTGGCAGAAGGATGCTTCCATTGACTAGCCCAGCCACCTTGAATCTTGTGGTTTGACTGGATGGACTGCTTGTTTACTCAGCCGAGCAGGAGTAGTAAGAGGAGTGTGAGAAATGCTTCCCATGCCAAGCAGTGAGCCTGAGCATCTTAGGCACCTTCCTCTCTCATACACAACCCTGGCCTGCCTCTTGTTCTTCTTTGCTCTGTCCAGGGATGGGCAGAATGTAAATAGGGATCTCTTGCTGACACTCTGGGTGTCTCCTAATTGAAGGGCACTCAGTCAAGGTCCGGTACTCGAATCCCTCATCTCAGAATTCTTTAATAGGTTTAGATTTAACTATTGGTTTAGACTGACCACTTTGAGTCTCCTTGTGGAGAGAAAAAGGGGGGTATAAATAGCAGGATGAGGATGATGATAGTGGTGATGGATGTTCTAGTACAGGGGTCCTCAAACTAAGGCCCAGGGGCCGGATCCGGCCCTCCAAGTTCATTTACCCAGCCCTCACTCTGGGTCAACCTAAGTCTGAAATGACTTGAAAGCACACAACAACAACAACAACTCTAATAAGCCAAAAGTATTTCCCATTGAAATACTAATAAGTTTATATTTGTTAAAATTATTCTTCATTTTAATTAAAGTGTTTTGCACTACGAATATGTGCAGTGTGCATAGGAATTCACGTTTTTTCAAATTATAATCCAGCCCTCCAACACTTTGAGGAACTGTGACCCTCTGTTTAAAAAGTTTGAGGACCCCTGTTCTAGTAAATGAAAGGAAAGTATTTCTTTCATAGAGTCATAGAATAATAGAGTTGGAAGAGACCTTAGGAGTCATCTAGTCCAATCCCTTACAATGCAGGAAAAGTACAATCAAAGCACCCATGACAGATGGACATCCAGTTCTGTTTAAAAGCTTCCAAGGAAGGAGCTTCCACCATACTCCAAGGCATAGAGTTCCACTGCTGAACAGCTCATATGATCAGAAAGTTCTTCTTAATGTTCATGTCCTGCCTTTTTACAAAGTGGAACCCAGGATGCCTCCCAATCCAAGATGGTTTGGATTCTCCCATTCTAGGGTGTATTGTTGGGTGCAGTTTACATTGTAATTTCACGAATTGGCACAGCAATCCCATAACATGTGCCACGGGGCATTTTGAGCCATCTCAGAAAGGAAAGTCGGGAAGCCCACTGAGCCCCACAAGCCTCAGGTCTAGATATTCTTAGAGAGAGCCACCCATGTCAGAAATATCAGACTGCAGGTTTGAGGCCACCAGGCAGTAATATTTTAAACATATTTTAATTGAATTGCTTTAAATGTTTTCAACTGAATGTAATTATTGGATTTTATTATGTATTTTATTATGTGTATATGGGGGCATCAAATTGTTGCCGGCTGTAAGCTGCCCTGAGTCATTGAGAAGGGCAGGGTACAAATAATTGAAATAAATAAATAAAAATATGGGAAAATACTTTCTTTCAAATTTGTAAATTAAACCCAGTCCCTCTAAACATGCAAAAATATGTTTAAAGCCCCTGAGCGTAGATTCTCTTCTCCTGTTTGCCCTCCAAAATGGGAACTAGAACAGACATGGCACCACTTTGAATCCCCATTTTGGAGGGTCACTGCCTGTATATGTGCAAGGTCTGCTGGGCAAAGGGGGAGAAAGTACGGGGGAATTAGCCCTTGGCCTCACATGGTTGCCCACCCCAGGCTGTAAAGGGCTGTACGCTAGTGATCTCTAGCCTAGATTCTGGAAAGTACAGCATATAGGGTGACCTTTTGGGTACAGGCAATTGTGGCTGATGATAGGGATTTTGCATGGGAATGTCTCTTGCAGTGGGGTCCACACCAGAGGCGCTTGCATACGCTGGGGTCAGTCCCTGGAGGCAGGGAGTTCTTGTGATGGCATGATAGTTCCCTCCTGGCCCTGGTCATCTATCACGTTGTGCTGCCATTCTGTTTTCAAGCAAGCTTTTTTCCCCTGCACATTTGAAAACATGAATCATGTTGGTGGGTTTCTTTTGTATGCTATGGTTTATTTGACTTTTTTTGTGTTTTGAAATTGTGGTTCAAGTTTTAATTATATGTTGTATTTTTCCGTTGCATAATGCCATCCTGGTACGGCAGGAGAGAAACCCTCAGAAGAGCAGAGAGAGAGAGAGAGAGCACTGGTTTCTGAGGCCCACGGGAGGCAGCAAGGCCCCTGAGTGTTTGAGTTGCCCCAAAGCATGGGGCAGCCATGGGCACATAGGGCCAGCAGCCCTACGGGGATACCCTGGTTGTCCAAAATGCCCCTCCCCTTCCAAAAGCAGCCTAATGTTGAACATAGACACAGTTTGGGAGTTCTCCTAGATTCATCGCTGAGCCTGGAACCCCAGGTCTCGGCGGTGGTCAGGGGAGCTTTTGCACAATTAAAACTTGTGCGCCAACTGCGCCCGTACCTTGGGAAGTCTGACTTGGCCACGGTGGTCCACGCTTTGGTTACATCCCGTTTAGATTACTGCAATGCTCTCTACGTGGGGTTGCCTCTGAAGACTGCCCGGAAGCTGCAGCTAGTCCAACGCTCGGCAGCCAGACTACTAACGGGTGCTGGGTACAGGGAGCACACCACTCGCTGTTACACCAGCTCCACTGGCTGCTGATCCATATCCAAGCACAATTCAAAGTGTGCGTGTTACCTTAACCTATAAAAAACCCTAACAGACTCCTCCCGGCCCCTGTATTACTCTCACTTGCCGAACGTCATTCTCCCCTACGAGTTCAGTCCAGTCACTTCAAGCTGAGAGGAGATATATAGCCATGTATAAAATGTGAGAGGAAGCCACAGGGAGGAGGGAGCAAGCTTTTTTTCTCTTCCCTGGAGACTAGGACGCGGAACAATGGCTTCAAACTACAAGGAGAGGAGATTCCATCTGAACATGAGGAAGAACTTCCTGACTGTGAGAGCCGTTCAGCAGTGGAACTCTCTGCCCCGGAGTGTGGTGGAGGCTCCTTCTTTGGAAGCTTTTAAACAGAGGCTGGATGGCCATCTGTCGGGGTGATTTGAATGCAATATTCCTGCTTCTTGGCAGGGGGTTGGACTGGATGGCCCATGAGGTCTCTTCCAACTCTTTGATTCTATGATTCTATGATTCTATTAAGATTGTCTGGAGAGGCCCTGCTCTCGGTCCCACCGGCCTCGCAAGCGCGTCTGGTGGGGATGAGGGACAGGGCCTTCTCAGTGGTGGCCCCTCGACTCTGGAACTCTCTTCCACTGGAGATCAGAACCGCCCCGTCTATCCTGACATTTAGGAAACAGATGAAGACGTGGTTATGGAGACAGGCGTTCGACGAGTGAGCCAACACCCTGAGATATGGATGGAGAATGATGAGCAACGATTTTAGTGGGACAACTGACCATTATAGTTATTGATTGTAATGGCTGTTTTAATGTTTTACTGTAATATGTATTATGATGTTTTATTGATGGTATGTGATATTATGGTTGGAAACCAGTCTGAGTCCCTCAAGAGAGGTGAGAAGGCCGCTATATAAAACTTTTAAATAAATAAAACAAATAATGGAAGCCGCATCTGTGTGCATAACCATATCAAAGTCCCATCAGCAGGGCTAGTCATGTTTGCCTTTCCGCTGCTTTCGGCCTTTAACCAGAGAGTCAAGCTCAGCCCTTGACTTCCTTTGGTCTTCTGTGGCGCTAAAATGGACAAAGAGGTTGGCTGTTGTTGGCTCCCGTCAGGAATTGTTCTTAATTCCTTCCAGTAGGAATTGAACACTTGGATGTTTGGACCAGCCTTTGAGAATGTCTAGCCTCAATGGTCCACAATAAATAATAAAAATAAATAACAAACTTTTATTTATACCCCGCCACCATCTCCCCAAGGGACTCGGAGCGGCTTACATGAGGCCAAGCCCATCAATAAAAACAACAGGGAATAAGCAAAATAAACAATACAATTAATATAACTCACACATAGACAATCATCATCATCATTTAATAACTTATTAATCACCCTCCATCCGAGAATGCTCTTGGCGATTTACAGCTAAATTATAAAAGATAAAATACATACATACAAAAATTAAAAATTAACAGAGATCGAATGTTCTAGTAAAAAGCCACACAAGAATTTTAAAAGCCTATGGCCAGGCCAGATGTAATAGTTAAACTATCATAAATTTTAATATATCTGACCATTTGTTGTTCCCCTCCTTTACCTCTATGTTGAGGGACAAAAATCGAGCTTTATTCCAATGTAGTTTTGCTCTATTATTTGTGAGGAATCTGCTCTGCCACACTTCCCAGACATGCTCAATCTCTAGCAAATAACTCTGCGAGTTTCTTCATGAGAAGCTGTGGTTGATATGTGGTCAGGGCAGGAGGCATGCAGCCTCCAGATATTGCTGGATTGCAGTACCCATCAGCCTTATAGCATGATGGGAGTGGCAATATGGCAAAGATGCCGCCTTTCTCTGTTGTTGTTGCTGATGTCTTTTCCCCCTCTGATCTGTCTCCTCAGATTCCATAATGATGAATGGTTCCAACGTGGCCAACACAACCACAGCTGCAACCACCCCTGCAAAATCCAAGGAGGACCAGGTAGTGAACGGGCACGATGAGAAGGAGAACAACCCCTTTGCCGAGTACATGTGGATGGAGAATGAGGAGGACTTCAACCGGCAGGTGAGGCATCCAAAGGGGGAAATGGTTCTGTTTCAACAGAGAGGCACACGTGCTGACACTTTGGGGGCAGCTCTGCTCTAGGAATGATTGTGGTTGTTTGCAGGGAGGCAGCAGTATTACAATGAGACAAGTCACATGGTTATACAATCTGGAGATTGCAGTAACACAGAGGACAGGGAGAAGGAGAGCCTCTTGGGGCCTTGCTGTGCTTAGCCTGGCTGCTGTGCGCAGAGTTATAGAGTCATTGAGTTGGAAAGGGTCTCATGGGCCATCGAGTTCACGCTTCTTGGTCCAACGGACGACAGCCAGGTTACTAACTGGAGTGACTTACAGGGAGCGGTCAATCCCCCGCTCCCTGTAACTCCATTGGCTGCCGTCCATCTTCCGGTCCCAATTCAAGGTGCAGGTTCTTACCTACAAAGCCCTGAACAGTTTGGGACCCGCCTAACTGTGTGACCGCATTTCTGTGTACGAACCCACACGATCTTTTCGATCATCTGGAGAGGCCTTGCTCTCACTCCCACCCCCTTCGCAGGCGCGGTTGGTGGGGACGAGGGAGAGGGCCTTCTCGGTGGTGGCCCCCCGACTCTGGAACTCACTCCCCAAGGATATCAGGCAAGCCCCCACATTGGCAGTCTTTAGGAGGAACCTCAAAATGTGGCTGTTCCAGTGTGCCTTCCTTGAATAAAGGAAATAATGCCATGCAAAATGTCCTCAGAAGCACTTTAACTACCCGTTGGGTTGGTCTCCCTATATTATCTTTTAAAACCCTCCTGCTTAGATACACCATACCTTTTAAAAAATTTAATCTATTTCATTTGTCCCTGCCATAAGGTTTTAAATTTTGTATGTTATTGCTTATATGTGAGTTACATTAATTGTACTCTTTTATTTCCTTGCTGCTTTGTTGTTTACTGATGTGTTGTTGGGCTTGGCCTCATGTAAGCCACCCCGATTCCCCTTGGGGAGATGCTGGCGGGGTATAAAGTATTATTATTATTGGGTTGTTGTAGATTTTTTCGGGCTATATGGCCAAGTTCTGGCGGCAATTTTTCTCCTGACGTTTCGCCTGCATCTATGGCAAGCATCCTCAGAGGTAATGAGGTCTGTTGGAAGTAGGAAAATGGGTTTATATATCTGTGGAATGACCAGGGTGAGACAAAGGACTTTTGTTTGCTGGGGCTAGCTGTGAATGTTTCAGCTGATCACCTTGATTGGCATTCAATGGCTTGGAAGCGCCTGGGGGGAATCTTTTGTTGAGAGTGATTTCATGTGCCTGTTTGTTTCCCCTCTGTTGTTTTGCTGCTGTAATTTTTGAGTTTTTTAATACTGGTAGCCAGATTTTGTTCATTTTCATGTTCCAACAGACCTCACTTCCAACAGACCTCACTACTACCTCTGAGGATGCTTGCCATAGATGCAGGCGAAACGTCAGGAGAAAAATTGCCTCCAGAACATGGCCATATAGCCCAGAAAAACCTACAACAACCCAGTGTTTCCGGCCATGAAAGCCTTCGACAATACATTATTATTATTATTATTATTATTATTATTATTATTATTATTATTGCGTTCAGGCAAAATGTCCCTTCCTGTCCCTTCAGACCGTGAGGCCTGCTCCTGCTCTCTGGGGCAGTTCTTGAGGGATTTAAAGAGGGCACTCTTGTCACCTTCCAAACTGAACCGGCCCAACTCCCTCAGCCTTTCCTCAGATGTGTTGTCCTCCGTGCCTCTTACACCCTCCCTGCCAGCCCTGCCCCAACCTGTCTCTATCCTTGTGAAGATGAGGCTCCAAGAACGGAATGCCTGAGGGCTGGAGAGCCTGACCCCAGGCCCATCGTGTTCTGCTCCTACTCTTTGGATGGCGCAAGCAGAGACCTGAATTCCACAATTGGGAGTGAAATTGTGGACCAGGAAGTTCATGCTTGAAGCCTAGTTCTGTTGAGCAACTTGGTTTTGTTTTGTTTTTTTCTCCATCCATCTCTTATTTTTTGAGCTCTCTGATCATTCATGATCATCCTGTAAGAGCTTCTCAAGGTTTTCCTGTAATTCGTAAAAGTACCGAGATGTAATGAATCCTTCACGTGATATATCCAGGCAATCTCTGGCCAACTCAATAACTTGATGATGAATGAAACTTAGCTCCATCTGCTAGTTGCAGGACATTCTCTGGTGCACTGGATGCAATAAACTCTGCCAGCCGTTCCTCCATCTGGGCTGTGGCCTTTGGAAACTTTTCTTTGTAAACATGGTTCATCATTAGTATTTCCCTATCAAACGATACTGGAGAACGGCCAGGACTGAGACTGTAAGATCGGGGGCGCATTGCTGGAGACGGTCGTCCTTCCTCATCAGTGATGCTTTCTGTACTGAAATGCTTTGTCAGGAAGTGAAGTTCATCTGCTGTTGGTTGGTAGGGCAGTTGAGGCAGCTTCTCCTGAGATGAGCAAGACGATGAAACTGTTGAACTAGGAGTATTTGTTCCATACCCAGATGAAGGGAGGGAGGCCAGAGACCAACGACGTCCATCTGTCCTACGAGCAGGAACAAAGGAAAAGTGAGAAGGCGCATTTAGGGAGAAATTTCTGGGTCTGTCCATGGAGTGGTGAATGTGGCCGTGGAAGTGTTGGAGATGTGCTGGAAGCTGCAATCAAGCTCTTCCTGTTAGTGGTCCAACAGAAACTTCCTCTTCTGGCGAGACTAAATTCCTTCAAGCCTGCTGTAAGTGATGGAGCTGACTATCCCAATGACTGATTCCTCATGCGGACCAAATTTGATGCTTCTCCTGACGGTTGCCATGTTGGTTGTCCTACACCACTAGGCATAGTAGTGGATAAACAGCTCGCCAAAGTACCCCTCCGGAGCTTGCAGTCATCTTGACTCAACTGCCAATGGAGTTTACTTTTCCCAGTTGATGAACAGATGTCAGGATTACTGAGCTTTCGGCATCGCAAAGTAATGGGTTCTGCTATAAAATCCTTTTTGGGCGGCTCCTGCCCAGCTTCGTCCACCTCTTTCCTTCCCACAGCGCTCCTTCTATCCAAGGCGTCCAAAGAGAGCCGCGAAGGCTGCTCCAACCTCCTTGGGCCGGCAGTGCTGAGGGCCCCGCTTTCTCCCCTCGAGAGCGGCCCTTGCTCATGATGAGAATGGTGGCGGGGAAGTGGGCAAAGGCCATCCCCTCAGTGTGGGACCTCGCCACCAGCCATCGTCGAGAAGGGGCACCTCAGGAGATGCCAAAGCCGTGCGGCGACTCCTGTCAGGCGCGACCACGCTGGGCACTGCAGTAATTCCCGTGGCCACGTATCTCTTATTTTGTCTTCCCTTTCTTTTTTCCTCAAAACAGAGATCGTTTGCCTGACTCATATTGTCATTGTAAGGATCTTTAGGAACACATGCATCCAGTGCCTTCCACAATGCAAAAGGCTTTCTTTAAATCCACAAAGTCTCTGTGTTGCAGGTTCTGTGTGGATTAATCAGGGCCTGGCTTTAGACTGCCTTAAACCCGCTTCTCACTTGGTACCAATGAGACTCGTAAAAGTGTGGAGGGAAGAACCAGGATCAAGAGAGGGCCTGGAGGTCAGCAGGCATTAATGAGAGGAGGGGAAAGGGGTCGGGAGGCATTCTTAGCGCTGCCACCCTTTACGATTCTAAAGGCCCAGTTCCATCCCTCTGCAACCTGCCTTCACCCTCTGAAAACTGAGCCCCAGGTGCCTCTTTTTCTATACTCAAGACAGCATGCAGTGACACCGTGCAACAACAACAACAAAAGCAGTATAAGGGGGTCAACTCAATAGCTTGCATTAAAAGATGAGAGAAAGGAGCAACAGAATAATACAATGTCTGGATGTACATGTTATGATTGGTGACACCTGCAGGCAGACATATCAAGGTCTAATCCTGATATTGTGTTCCTGTTGCTGCTGCTCTAGTTCTTAGTTCAGACAAAAAAAACTATTTGGTTGAAAATCATAGAGGTGGTTAAGAACTGATCACTGTGCTAGCAGGGTATTAGCCGTGATGTGACATATTTATAATATTATAATGTAATGCAATATAATAATAATAATATGATTGAGAGCAGTACGTGTGAAAAAGATCTTGGAGTCCTCGTGGACAGGAAGTTAAACAGGAGCCAACAATGTAATGTGGCGGCAAAAAAAGCCAATGGGATTTTGGCCCGCACCAAGAGGAGCCTAGTGTCTAGATCCAGGGAAGTCATGCTCCCCATGCTCTTTTCCACCTTGGTTAGACCACTTTACCTGGAATATTGTGTCCAATTCTGGGCACCACAATTCAAGAGAGATATTGACAAGCCGGAATGTGTCCAGAGGAGGGCGACTAAAATGATAAAAGGTCTGGAGAACAAGCCCTATGAGGAGCGGCTTAAGGAGCTGGGCATGTTTAGCCTGAAGAAGAGAAGGCTGAGAGGAGACATGATGATAGCCATGTATAAATACGTGAGAGGAAGCCACAGGGAGGAGGAGGGAGCAAGCTTGTTTTCTGCTGCTCTGGAGACTTGGACAAGAGAGGAGATTCCACTTGAACACGAGGAAGAACTTCCTGACTGTAAGAGCCGTTCAGCAGTGGAACTCTCTGACCCGGAGTGTGGCGGAGGCTCCTTCTTTGGAAGCTTTTAAGCAGAGGCTGGATGGCCATCTGTCAGGGGTGCTTTGAATGCCATATTCCTGCTTCTTGGCAGAATGGGGTTGGACTGGATGATGGCCCAGGAGGTCTCTTCCAACTCTAGGATTCTAGGATTCTATGATTCTAATATGATATTATAATTATATATTTATATTACATGTAATATACTAATAATATTACAATATAATGGTATAGTACAATATAGTAATATTTAATACTGATACTGTACTATGTTGATAACATAATATATTGTATGTATATATATCTTGTAAGCCACTCTGAGTCTCCGTCGGGGTAAGAAGGGCGGCTTATGAATGTCGTATATAAATATTCAGGGGAAAGGAGGCTTGCTCTTTTGCCAAGCGAACTGAGCAGGAGTTTGCTTTGCACCTGCTTGAGGGCAACCGTCCCAGAGGCCTGGGTCTCTCCCCTTGCCGTTCTGTCCTTTTGCATAAACGGCAACTGGAGGTGCCAGGAGCATTCTGGGAAAGGAGGGGCAGGCGCTTGGGACTTTGAAGTCGGCCGTGCCTCGCATGCAGCCTGAAATCCGGAGAGCGGCCTTGGAGGTGCTGCCAAACCGGCTGAACGTGCTCTGCCTCCCGGGAGGCAACGCTGGCATTTACTGCATTGCTTAAATTGTCTTCAAGGGCACTTGCTGAACGCTTAGTTTTCTTGCCGTTCTGAGTTATTGTGACAAGCAACAAGAGCCTGCAATTGAGCAGTGGAAAGACCTCCCCAAATACAGGCTCTGGAGATTTATTTCAGTGCAGACTTTCATATTTTGTTCCCATGCCACTCATTTCTGTTGCCATTTTGGTAGAGCCCTTGCTTCCCTGCCGAGGGTGCTAGCTCGGTGCCTTTAAGTTTGGGCCTTAAAGGCACTCCTGCCTGAGGCCCTGGGAACCCAAGCCTATCAGGTTCACAAAGTGGTGGGCAAAATGCCACCTTGGCCCCTTGTGTGAGGATGCTTGCCACAGATGCAGGCAAAACATCAGGAGAGAATGCTTCTAGAACGTGGCCATGCAACCCAAAAAACCTACAACAACACTGCAATTGCTCATTTAGTTGGAGATGATAGTGAACTATATGGATAGCCTCATTTTAGCAGAAGCCCACTTCTTATGCACCCCTGCCCTTTCTGTCCCATAGAACTCGGCCTCCATCTCCATAGTTCCTTGCCTTGTTGCTTCCCCATCTCATCTAGGGCTGGTGTTCTTTAACTGGCGCTATGTCTTTTTGCTGCCTGGGATCTGGGAAGTCTGGAATTATTTAAGGGCTTCCTCCAAGCTTTTGCTGACTGCTGGAGCAGCTTCTCCACTCATTTCCCAGACCTCTCTCTGGCTGCCAAACTTGGCATGCATGTGGCAGACCTTGTGGTCAGCGGGTGGGGGAACCGTTCCCGGCCAAGACAGAGCGGCCTTCTGGGTCTCCCTTTGGCTGAAGAGGCTTGGGCTGGAACACAGATTCTGGAGAGGAAGAGCCAGCCTCCTCCCACTGCCTCCCTGAATTGGCTTCTGCAGAGACCATTGGAACAGGGAACAAGGTCCCACTTCCCCGCCCAGAATGAAATGACCATAGGATCTCAGCAGAAGAGCACCCCAGCCATGCCTTGCTAGTTCCCAGTCTCTCGGCTAAGATTTCATAGAATCCTAGAATCCTAGAGTTGGAAGAGACCTCCTGGGCCATCTCTAGTCCAACCCCATTCTGCCAAGAAGCAGGAATATTGCATTCAAAAGCACCCCTGACAGATGGCCATCCAGCCTCTGTTTAAAAGCCCAAAGAAGGAGCCTCCACCACACTCCGGGGCAGAGAGTTCCACTGCTGAACGGCTCTCACAGTCAGGAAGTTCTTCCTCATGTTCAGATGGAATCTCCTCTCTTGTAGTTTGAAGCCATTGTTCCATTGCGTCCTAGTCTCCAGGAAGCAGAAAACAAGCTTGCTCCCTCCTCCCTGTGGCTTCCTCTCACATATTTATACATGGCTATCATATGTCTCCTCTCAGCCTTCTCTTCTTCAGGCTAAACATGCCCAGCTCCTTAAGCCGCTCCTCATAGGGCTTGTTCTCCAGACCCTTGATCATTTTAGTCGCCCTCCTCTGGACACATTCCAGCTTAGAGTCAATATCTCTCTTGAATTGTGGTGCCCAGAATTGGACACAATATTCCAGGTGTGGTCTAACCAAAGCGGAATAGATCATGGGGAGCAGGACTTCCCTGGACCTAGACACTAGGCTCCTCTTGATGCAGGCCAAAATCCCATTGGCTTTTTTTGCCGCCACATCACATTCCTGGCTCATGTTTAACTTGTTGTCCACGAGGACTCCAAGATCTTTTTCACACGTACTGCTCTCAAGCCAGGCATCGTCCCCCATTCTGTCTCTTTGCATTTTGTTTTTCCTGCCAAAGTGGAGTATCTTGCATTTGTCCCCGTTGAACTTCATTGTGTTAGTTTTGGCCCATCTCTCACTTGGGATTTGAATCCCAAGTGGCCTCAAACTCCACTTGCTGACTCCTGGGAAGCCGTGAAGCCCCTGAATGGTAGTAACAGGGATGGGGCCTGTCTTATTTCTCTAGGAAGGGCATTCCAGAGGCGAGGGGCCACCACCAAGAAGGCCCTCTCTCTCGTCCTCACCAACCATGCTTGAGATGGTGGTGGGAGCAAGAGGAGGGCCTCTCCGGAAGATCTTCACGTTCATACCGGTTCATAGAGGGGGATGCAGTCGCGAAGATCGTTTAGGGCTTTATAGGTCATAACTTCCCCTTTTTCCCCAAAAGTCTTAGTGTGTTTTGATGTCCCTTTGTTTGAGAAGGAAGCATTGCGAGGCCTCTCTGCCTAAAGATGCCTTAAACACAGGCATAAGAATCCACATCTTCTGTCAAAGTTAGGTCACTTTTTGAGGTCTATGTATTATTAACTTTATTTATACCCCGCTAACATGGATGGCATCCTTGAAGTGACTGGACTGACCTTGAAGGAGCTGGGGGTGGTGACGGCCGACAGGGATTTCTGGCGTGGGCTGGTCCATGAGGTCACAAAGAGTTGGAGACGACTGAACGAATGAACAACAACATCTCCCGAAGGACTCGGTGCAGCTTACAAGAGGCCGAGGCCCAACACATCAATAAAACAACAACATAACAAATACAACAATACATAAACTCATAAAGCAAAGCAATAAACATTAAAACAATAACAATAAACACTAGGCAGTAACACCATGACGCATTTAAAAACTGAGGCCGGGCCAAATGTAATGAATCAAATTTAAAAAATGCTGGACATGACAGGTGAAATGGATAGGTTTTTGGAGATAGGTGCGGTGTGCAGACAATCTGAAATCTCTAGTAAAGTGCATTTGGGACATGATGCTTGGAGTTTCCTATTCTGGGAAGGCACACGGGAATAGCCACGTCTTCAAGCTCTTCCTAAAGACTGTCAACATTGGGGCTTGTCTGATGTCCTTGGGAAGAGAGTTCCAGAGTCGGGGGGCCACCACGGAGAAGGCCCTGTCCCTCGACCCCACCAAACACTCTTGCGACGCAAGATGATCAGAGATGTACTCTATTACCTGAGATGTTTGACCTCCAACATGAAAAGTAAATGTTTGTTTACCTTCTTAAACCTTATCCTGTGTATTTTCTCTCCTGCTTTCTACCATGAGCTCCTCCATAGCACTGGCTGCACTGCGCTCATAGAATGATAGAATCCTAGAGTTGGAAGAGACCTCATGGGCCATCCAGTCCAACCCCATTCTGCCAAGAAACAGGTCAATCACGTTCAAAGCACCCCCAACAGATGGCCACTCAGCCTCTGTTTAAAAGTCTCCATAGAATGAGTTTCCACCACACTTCGGGGTAGAGAGTTCCACTGGTGAACAGCGCTCACAGTCAGGAAGTTCTTAGAATAGAGTCATAGAATGAAAGAGTTGGAAGAGACCTCATGGGCCATCCAGTCCAACCCCCTGCCAAGAAGCAGGAATATTGCATTCAAATCACCCCTGACAGATGGCCATCCAGCCTCTGTTTAAAACCCTCCAAAGAAGGAGCCTCCACCACACTCCGGGGCAGAGAGTTCCACTGCTGAACGGCTCTCACAGTCAAGAAGTTCTTCCTCATGTTCAGGTGGAATCTCCTTTCTTGTAGTTTGAAGCCATTGTCCCATTGCGTCTTAGTCTCCAGGGAAGCAGAAAACAAGCTTGCTCCCTCCTCCTCCTCCCTGTGGCTTCCTCTCACATATTTTATACATGGCTATCATATCCCCTCTCAGCCTTCTCTTCTTCAGGCTAAACAGGCCCAGCTCGTTAAGCCGCTCCTCATAGGGCTTCTTCCTAATGTTTAGGTGAAATCTCCTTTCCTATACTTCCCTCAATTCTGCCAAACCTGTGCCAAGTATTCCTACTCCCTTCTTGTGAGCAAGCGAAGGGGCTCCTGGCTCTGGGTTCCCAGCTAGACCCAAGGGTGCTGGAGACCAGGGGCCCCTGCTTTGCATGACGCAGGAGCTTTTTTTCCTGCCTCAGGAGGCTGATCTGAATGACACACGGATTCCCCTCTTTTTCTCTCCCTGTCGCCCAGGTGGAGGAAGAGCTGCAGGAGCAAGAGTTCCTGGACCGCTGCTTCCAGGAGATGTTGGACGAGGAGGACCAGGACTGGTTCATTCCCTCCCGCGACCTGCCCCAGGGCATCGGGCAGCTCCAGCAGCAGCTGAACGGGCTCTCGGTCAGCGACGGCACCCACAGCCACGTTTCGGAAGACATTTTGGTAAGCGGAAGGGGAGGGGGGCAGAAAGAGCCCCTGGAGCTAAGCATCTCGCATTTGGGGAGGGAGGGAGGCACCTTGGGGTGGTATTCATTCACTTTGGTTTTAATAATAATAATAATAACACTTAATTTGTACCCTGCTACCATCTCCAAGGGACTCGGTGTGGCTTAAATGAGGCCGAGCCCAAATACAACAAAACAAGCAATAATAACAACAATACAAGCAATTAAAATAAAAACATGGATAATAAAATATTATATTATCCCTTTGCGTTGCAGGTCTTATAACTGTTTGGTTCCATTTTTCACCTCTTTTACACAAAACACTCCCCTGAATCCTCTAAGGGGGGCATAATATTAAAACAGAGTTCATACAAATTATTGGAAAGAGATTATTTGTGTTAGTAAAGAATCCAAATCTTGTGGCTCCTGGGTTCCACGGGGGGTGACCATCGAAATGGAAGGCCGCTGTATTCAATAACCTTTCAGGGCACCTTTTTACAAGTCAGAGGTTAAATGGCAATCAAAAGGAATGGCTTCAAGTCAGGGTGAAAACAAACATTAAATCCATTTTCCTTAGCTGAGGGAATTTGAACATGCTGAGCCCCTTGCCAGGTACATGCATAGCATGTCACCCTGGGAATGAGTATGTCTTAAATGGGGTGCCCTGGCCAAGGGGGGCTTATAAATGTGTTGGCACCGTAACCTCTTTGCTACCTGTCTAGTAGAGAGGAAACCCTGGGAGCAGGAAAAGGAATGGGAAGGGGTCTCGAGGGGCTCACTGGAACTGGCTGCTTTATTACAGAAAAATCCCAATGCTCTTTGGGGTGTGTGTGTGTGTGTTTGTATACATACACACACACACACACACACACACACACACATATATATATATATATATATATATATATATATATATATATGCACACACACACACACACACACACACCCCAAAGAGCATTGGGATTTTTCTGTAATAAAGCAGAAAAATCATATATATATATATATATATATATATATATATATATATACACACACACACACATACATACACATACATAAATACACACACACACACACATACATACACATGTTAATTTTCATTATTATATGTGTTTTGTTGTTATGATTGAGTACTGAATGTCCCTTTGGGGGAGATAGGGCGGAATATAAATAATATATATACACACATACACACCTTATTTATCTGGTTGTAAGATGCCATCAATTGTGAGACACACACTACTTTCAACAGGAGGAGGTGGACACTTTATTAAGGTTTCACACCACCCCTGAAGAAAAGTCATGAATATATCCTACCAGTCTTTGTGGCAGGCAGATAGTATCAATATTATTATTATAGGGGTGCCTGTGTAATTTCTTCCCCTTACGGACCATCGAGGACTCTAAGATCGTCTGGGGAGGCCCTGCTCTCGGTCCTGCCTTCATCACAAGTACGTTTGGCGGGGATGAGAGACAGGGCCTTCTCAGTGGTGGCCCCTCGGCTATGGAACTCCCTCCCTAGGGAGATCAGTTCTGCTCCCTCCCGCTTAACGTTTCGGAGGCAAGTTAAAACATGGTTGTTCGAGCAAGCGTTTACAAATGCAGAGTAGCTAATATAGGAAATCGAACGATTTGACAATGGAATTGGACAATGCTTGATAATAAGGAGACGCTAATGATGTTTTTGTTTCTTTTGTAGTGTTTTATACTGTTTAATGTTTTGATCTATATTATGTTTTTATGTGTACTGATTTGTTGGAAACCGCCTTGAGTCGCCAATTGGCTGAGAAAGGCGGTATACACATACAGTAAATAAATAAATAAACGTGTGGCAGAGGATAGCTAGTAATCATAATAAAAATACAATACAATACAAAACCATTATAAATAACACATCAGCAATAAAACAAAAACGGTTAAAAACAAAAGGATCCAACACTGTGGACAGGGCCAAATCTAGTAATATATATATATATACACACACACACCTTATTTATCTGGTTGTAAGATGCCATCAATTGTGAGACACACACTACTTTCAGTATTGCCAACAGGAGGGGGTAAACACTTTATTAAGGTTTCATACCACCCCTGAAGAAAAGTCATGAATACATCCCACCAGTTCTTTGTAGCAGGCAGATAGTATTATTATTATTATTATTATTATTATTATTATTTTACTGACAGTATGTCACAGCAAACGAGTTTATATGCTGGATTTCATATCACAAAATCACAAGTCGAATTATTATTTATTTATTTACTTACTTACTTACTTTGTATACTGCTCTTCTCAGCCTTTAGGCGACTCAGGGCGGTTTACAACAGTTTCAATATACACAATACAAAATCATTAAGCATTTAAAAGCAATAGCATCACAAATCATTAAACATCAATATCAATACATCAGTACACCAATATAACAAATCCATCAGGTCTCATCAATGAAATCAGAATCCAAACTCGTTATCCGATATTCCGTGTTCCGACAGTCAGTCAATCAATCACACTGCTTAGTCAAATGCCTGTTCAAACAGCCAGGTCTTTACTTTCCTCCGGAATGCCAGCAAGGAGGGGGTCGATCCGATATCTGCAGGAAGGGCGTTCCACAGCCGAGGGGCCACCACTGAGAAGGCCTTGTCTCTCGTCCCCGCCAGGCGTGCTTGTGAAGCCGGCGGGATCGAGAGCAGGGCCTCCCCAGACGATCTTAATGTCCTAACTGGTTCATAGGAGGAGACGAGTTCGGACAGGTAGGTCGGGCCAGAACAGTTTAGGGCTTTAAAGGCTAAAGCCCTAAATGGTTTAGCCTTTATTGTTGTTGTTGTTGTTGAAGGGGCCTGTGTAATTTCTTTGGGAAATGCGCAAGAGAGAAAGAAGAGTGTGGGGGTGGGGTGGAAAGGGGTTTGACTGTGGGTCTGTCCTGCCACCCAGGCCGCTCTGACTTGGCTCCTCTGTTCTTCTCCTTTTCCAGAGCAAAAGCACCTTAAACCCGGACGCCAAGGAGTTTGTCCCCGGAGTGAAGTACTGAGCCTTCCAAGGGAGCTTCACAGAGACTCTTGTTTTCTGCCCTGGAGGGGCGGGCGGGCGGGCGGGGCGGGGTGGGTGATTTGGGCTGGGGTGGGGGGTCATTGCGGGTGAGTGGGGGGGGGAGCGAGCGGTGCCTGCAATCCGCGGTGAGAAAGAGACGCTTTGGGGCAAACGGGTGGGCCTCCTAAGCTGCTACGCCGCCCCCCTCTTTTCTTGCCGCCGCATCGGGACATTTTTGGGGAAACAAGAACTGACACAACAAGAAGAACTCATACCCATCCCACCAGACCGGGGGAGGGCGCGCGTGGGGGGGGGGTGCTCCTCCTCCTCCCCATTTCCGTTTTTGTTCCGTTAGAGCGCAGAGTCCGGCCTGCCTCCTTTCCCTCCTCCCTTCCTCCTTTCCTTCCTTCCTTCTTCTGGGTGTGCTTTGGACACTTTGCCCAGGGGAAGCAGCGCTGCCGGATCTCCCATCTTCTCCTCCTCCTTCTCCTCCTCCTTCTCCAAGCTTGGCAGCCCCTGCTCTGCCCCCAGCCAGGCACCCACTGCTGCTGTTGCTGCTGCTGCTTCTCCTCCTTCGTCTTCCTCTTCCTCCTCTTCCTGGCTCTGGAGCAGCCTCTCCCCTGTTCGCTCTGGTTGGGGACATGGGAAACCCTGCAAGTGACTGCCTCCCCTTGATATGTATGGGAGGGAGAGCCTGCCTGGTCCACCAGCTCCTCCTTCCAGTTGCAAACTCAAGGCAGGGGTTGCCCCAGAGAGCCCAATGGCAGCCTGGGCTCGTTTTGCAAGGAAGTGGGGTGCACAGTGATCTTGGGCATGAATAATCTCCTACCCATCCCTCCCCTCCCCTTTTGGTGCCCTTTCCTCTCCTTTTTCGTTCTCCCATCACTACAATATCAAGGCCTTCCTCTGCATCTCTGCATGACAACAGCTTGATCGAAACCAAGTGAGCATCTCTCTCCTGGGAAGGAGTTGCACAAACATTATTGGGCTGCCTCTCCCTGTGGGCTCCAGCCAGGGGTGAGCGAGGATGGGAGTTGAAGTCCAAGCCCTTCTGGCTGGGACGGAGGGAGGACGCGGTCTCTCAGTCACGGCCTGTGCTCAGCATCCCGATCACAGAGAGGCTGGTGGCAGCCAAGGGAAGAAGGCAGAGAGAGGACCTCTCTGATGCAAAGGGAGCATGGAGCACAAGCCTCTGTGGCTTGGCCTCTCCTGGCTCAGGAGCGTTTCCTCCCAAAGCTCCCAAACCCTTTGGCTCTCGCATGTTGGTTTCGGGTCCCGCTCAGTCCTTTCTTCTCTTTGCTTTGAGAAGAAAGGCCTTAACCGTACACGACCCTCCTCTCTTTGGCTTTCCAATCGGGGATTTAATTATCACCAGGGAAAGGGGTTGGTGGCATGAATGCTTACTGCGGGAATGGGGAGGGGGTGGGGGTGGAAGATGGCCCCTAAAACACCTGGGGGCCGCTTTGGTGGCTCATCTGCCATTCCCCCCTCGTCCCCGAGGACATGATGCCTTGATGAGGTGGCCCTTCCCCGGGAATTGCATCCCTTGCTTGGAAAAGAAAGACCCAAACTCTGCATTCTGGAGGGGAAAAGGGTCCTTTGGGCTTGCTGGGCTCTCATAGCTGTCTCCGGTCTCCTTCCAGCGCCATTGGGGGCCAGTTGGGGGTCTTTTCCTTCCCAGAAGCAATTGCCCTTAAAAAGAAAGCATTGCAAGAACCCCGCTCTTTGCAGCCGCAGTTCACCCTTGGCCCCAGTCTTATCAGGAGGGCTTCCAAAGGCACCCTGCCTCCTTCCTTCCTTCCTTCCTTCCTTCCTTCCCATAACGTTGAAATCAGGACATAAGGCCAAAAGGCCTGAGGTGGTCCAGACCCAAGCCCTGCTCTTCCACCCGGAGAATGGGATGGTAGCAAATCCCTTAGGACAACCCGTGGGGCTTCCTCAAAATGGCTCTTCCTTCCTTCCTTCTTTCTTCTCTTCCTGCAAAAGGGAAGAGGGGCAGGAAGGACCCTCTTGGCTGGGACCTGGGATCTGCTACTTCCCATTCTCCTTTCTGAAATGAGAACCTGAGGTCCAGGTGTCTTCCTTCCTTTCCTTCCCTTTCCTTTGGCCATGTTACAGTGCTGCCTCCTGGGTGTGTTGGGCCACTCCTCCCATCATCCTGGATGCTTGGTGGGGGTGGGATCTGTTACTTTTGGGGGTTCTTCCTGGAGGGAGCCCGAGATGAAGGAGCCTGCCGGGGAGGTGGCCGGAGCGTCTTCCTTCCTCCTCTCCTCCCCCTTCCCACCCCTCTTCTGCCATCTCTGGTTCCTTTGGGAGGAGGTCTTTGCAATTATGTGCTGTCCATTTTTACAACGATGCATTCTTAAATAAATGAGTTTTGAGCTGGGTAGAGATTCGCAGCATGGAGTTCTGGAGCCCACAAGGGCAACTCTCATTGGTTAAGCGGACAAACCCAGAGGGTGATGCTCCCCAAGGCTTCCTCCTCTGCATCCTGGAAAGAAGTCATCATCATCATCGTATTTAATTACCTATTAATCGCCCTCCATCCAAGATGCTCTAGGTGATTTAGAAGCTAAATTGTAAAAGATAAAAATACATACATACAAAAATGAATAGTGACGAGCGGAGTGCCATCAGCAGGGTTCCGTCCTAGGATCGGTCCTGCTCAGGATCTTCATTCATGACTCTTAGATGAAGGGTTCAAAGGCAGGATCATCACGTTTGCAGACGACACCAAATTGGGAGGGATAGCCAAGACTCCAGAAGTTAAAATGAAGTTCATCAATGACAAACACAAGAGACTCCACTTAGGCAGAAAAAACAAAATGCAGACAGACAGAATGGGGGATGATGAGGCCTGGCTTGAGAGCAGTACATGTGAAAAAGATCTTGGAGTCCTCGTGGACAGGAAGTTAAACGTGAGCCAACAATGTGATGCAGCAGCAAAAAAGCCAGTGGGATTTTGTCCTGCATAAATAGGAGTCTAGTGTCTAGATCTAGGGAAGTCATGCTCCCCATGCTCTATTCTGCCTTGGTTAGACCACACCTGGAATCACATTGTGTCCAATTTTGGACACCACAATTCAAGAGAGATATTGACTCTAAGCTGGAATGTGTCCAGAAGAGGGCGACTCAAATGATCAAGGGTCTGGAGAACAAGCCCTATGAGGAGCGGCTTAAGGAGCTGGGTTTGTTTAGCCAAAGAAGAGAAGGCTGAGAGGAGACATGATAACGGACAGGTAGTAATATGTGAGGGGAAGTCATAGCTAGGAGGCTTCCTTTCTGCTTCCCTGGAGACTAGGACGCAATGGAACAATGGCTTCAAACTACAAGAAAGGAGATTCCATCTGAACATTAGGAAGAACTTCCTGAGTGTGAGAGCTGTTCAGCAGTGGAACTCTCTGCCCCGGAGAGTGGTGGAGGCTCCTTCTTTGGAATCTTTTCAACAGAGGCTGGATGGCCATCTGTCAGGGGTGATTTGACTGCAATATTCCTTCTTCTTGGCAGAATGGGGTTGGACTGGATGATGGCCCACCAGGTCTCTTCCAACTCTAGGATTCTATGCAGTGTGGCCTTGAACTCAATATTCTGACGAACAAAAATACTCTTAAGTATAATGTATTGTCGAAGGCTTTTATGGCCAGAATCACTGGGTTGTTGTAGGGTTTTTCGGGCTATATGGCCATGTTCTAAAGGCATATTCTCCTGACGTTTCGCCTGCATCTATGGCTACCTCTGAGGATGCTTGCCATAGATGCAGGTGAAACGTCAGGAGAAAATGCCTTTAGAACATGGCCATATAGCCCAAAAAAAACTACAACTCTTGAGTCTGTTATGCTTTTTTAAAGTAAAAATGATAACAGTAGGTTCAAATCTGGGGAGCGGGGTGAGCATCCGCTGTCAGCACCAGCTCCTGCCAACCTAGTAATTCGAAAACATGCAGATCTAAGTAGATCAATAGGTTCCTCTCTGGCAGGAAGGTATCTGCTCCGTGAAGCCATGCTGGCCACATATTGGAGATGCCTACGGACAATGCCATCTCTTCAGCTTAGACAGTCCCAGAGCCGGACACGATTAGACTTAAATGTCAGTGGAAAACCTTTACCTTTACCTATGAAGGGATCTATAAACAGCTCAGAGAGACATGGAAGAGTATTGAGTAGAGATCTGCAATCCATTTTAAAAGATGGCTCAAAAGTCATTACAAAATTGGGGGCACCGGCATTTCATTTCTAACGTGTTGTCATATTTTGGTGGTGGATGCTGCTGGTTTTTCCCCACTTCTTGGTTCTTGTTGGAGTCTTGGAGCTTCTCCAGCCTAGCTTCTATTTTATTCAAAGCCTCACGTACGCTTTGCAGTTTTTTCTGCATCTCATCTTCCTCTGGATTACATTTTATCTTGCAAGCCTCCCAAAACAAACACAAGCGGAACTGGGTGAGTTTCATTCCGTGGGGGAGAAAAGTATTCTGTCACGTTGCCAGGGCTCTGCCTTATTTAGGTAGAGAAGAACCAAACTCCCAGTTTTATCAGACAGTTTAATAAGAACAGCACTTACTTGATGGTTGTTTTAATAGTCCAAAATATAAAACATAAAGATAGCACTCAGCCACAGAATAAACAAAAACTTATAGCAAAAACAACTCAGTCCAAAGGGTCCAGTCCAGTGGTCAAACGCCAAGATTTCAATAACAGAGTCCAGGGATCAAGAGTCTATACTGCAGTCAAAAGCCGTTACAAGATTACAAGAGACAGATCAGGATACTGAAAATCCAACAGACCTGGGGGGAAAACCAGCAGCATCCACCACCAAAATATGACACGTGTTTCTAAAGTATACTTTCGAAACACGTCTCATATTTTGGTGGTGGACGCTGCTGGTTTTTCCCCCAGGTCTGTTGGATTTTCAGTATCCTGATCCCTGAAAAATCCAGGAGTAACAAAATGTCATTACTATTTCGTTACAGTAATTGGGCATAATTACTATTAATTGGGGAAACTTCGGGGCATTTCTCCCTCATTTTTAAAGCTATTGGAGTGAAACTTGCTACAATGGTAGAACGCACTGACCACTTTGAGCCCAACAAATTTCAGAACGTTTCACTTATCCACGGATGTTTGGGGAGTTTTCAATTTTTATAAACAACATTTTAGAAAAAGTACAAGAGCTATCTCCTTGGATTTTATACACAATGCACAGGATAACCAGGGCATCCATCCCCAGAAATTTCAGAAAGATTCACATATCAAGAGATTTTTAGGGATATTTTTATACAAAAACAATGTACCACACCCCCACCCCCCCAAAAACCCAGCAATTCCCTTAAATGCCTGCCTTAGTGTGTGTTAGGCATGTGCAATCCATGGTTCTAAAGTACTTACAAAACTAAAGTTCTGGTGGTGGAAACTAGGGGGCGCTGGTGCTTTGCTTCTACAGTTCTGGTGGTGAAAATTTCAGAACTCTAACAAAACTCAAAATTTTGCTATAAATGGCAGTTCCTAATTGGTTCTGTCATAGAAATAATCAATAATGAAATAATTAAATTTTGAAAGTTTTGTTAGAGTTCTGCAATTTTCACCACCAGAACTTTAGCAACAGTGTAGAAGCAAAGCACCAGCTCCCCCTAGTTTTGTAAGTACTTTAGAACCATGGTTCTGTCAAAAATTGCCAATAATGAAATAGCAATGAAATTTTGAACGTTTTGTTAGAGTTCTGAAATTTTCACCACCAGAACCTTAGCAACACTAGAAGCAAAGCACCAGCTCCCCCTAGTTTTGTAAGTACTTTAGAACCATGGTTCTGTCAAAAAATTTCCAATAATGAAATAGCAATGTAATTTTGAAAGTTTTGTTAGAGTTCTGAAATTTTCACCACCAGAACTTTCAAAATTTTGTTATAAATGGCAGTTTCTAATTGGTTTGCTCATAAAAATTGCCAATAATGAAATAGTAATGAAATTTTGAAAGTTTTGTTAGAGTTCTGAAATTTTCACCACCAGAACTTTAGCAACACTGTAGAAGCAAAGCACCAGCATCCCCTCGTTTTGTAAGTACTTTAGAACCATGGATTGCCCATGCCTAGTGGGTGTAGATAACACACAATTAACCACAAGACTTCAACTTAGCACATGTTTATACTATGACTTACTTACTGTAGTCCTCTTTGCAGATTCAATCATTTTATTTATTATTATTAGACTGATGCTGAGCACTGCATTCTGGGAACTGTAGTTGACAGTAGTTGGCCTTTTCCATTCTCTGCCTCCCAAATTCCATTTCTCAGAATGCTGTTCTCAGTCTCCCGCCCATTAACTTTACGAGTCCCGCCCCCAGCGCCTTTGCTTATGGCGATCGGGCCAAAGAAAAAGGATTGGTTTCTCAAGCACTTGATGTTATCTTGGCTCGAACAAAGTTGCACACTGAAAATTAAACTGACCTTGGGAGGCATTTGAATGCTACAGAATCTTAACGAAAATGATTGGGGAGTGTTTTGATTCTTCAGTGTGGTCACTGTGAAATCCACACCTGTGGTATTTCCTGCATCCACGCAGTTGATTCAGATCCTTATTGAAAAGCTTTTGCCAAATCAGGGACTCCAGCCCCGCCCATCTACTCCATTAATAAAGCCAGGCAGCGGAGCTTGAGGCCTTAGTTCCTTTTGTCCGCGAAAGCAGCAACAACTCGGTATTCTCTCCTAAAACAACTACTGATTTGACTCAAGGACTCCAGTTTGACTATGCTCATTCCACTCAAGCAGTGGCAGCCTCTGTGGCATTTTTGCATGGTGTGCCACTGGATGACATTTGTCGGCTGTTGTAGGTTTCTCGAGCTATTTGGCCATGTTCAAGAAGCATTCTCTCCTGACGTTTTGCCTCCTCACAATCTCTGAGGATGCTTGTCATAGATGCAGGCGAATTTAACTTTTCTGGCCACCGGGGAACTGTCGCTTTCATCATCCATCTGCGACACTGATGATGTACTTCCACATTGGGTTGTTGTAGGTTTTTTCGGGCTATATGGCCATGTTCTAGAGGCATTCTCTCCTGATGTTTCGCCTGTATCTATGGCAAGCATCCTCAGAGGTAGTGAGGTCTGTTTTTCGTGTGTCTTGGAATAGTTTCTCCCCGCAGAGATGTTCAATGTATTATCGAAGGCTTTCATGCAGGCGAAACATCAGGGGGGAATGCCTCTAGAACATGGCCATATAGCCCGAAAAACCCTACAACAACCCAGTGATTCCAGCCATGAACGCCTTCGACAATACATTTGTTGCAACCCAGAGCAGGAAACTGGACCCTCAGACAACAATCCACCACACTTGACTTCAGGAAGAGCAATCCTTTTTTATTGATGAAAGATGAATACAAAATAGAAGAAATATGCAAATGTAAAAAGGCATAGTAAAAATCAGGAACAAGAAATGTACACAAACAAGATCATGAAATCCACAGCAAAACTGCTGAATCCTGGAACCTGTTCGCAATCTACTAACCATACTAGAAACAACTAGAAAACCTCCGAGGAACAAAGCCACTTGAATCAGGAGACCTGGAAAAGCTTGCACATGAATCTGGAACGATGCCTGGTCTGAAGCGGCATTCAGGCCAGGCATATTTAAGGCCAAGAAATCTATTGCGAGACACGCCTGAAGATTTTGTTTGCATTTCTTTCAATCTGGCTGACCTACGTAAACTTTGTGTTTCACCCCGGCTCTGCCAAATCTGCTCCCCCCCCCCCCCCCCCCCCCCCGCTTATCCTCATTAGGGAGACCAGGTGTCAGATTCTCTGGAGAACTAAGACTGGGAGGAAAAGGGAGTGAAACGTCTCCGTTTGGTTCGGAATACATGTTCTCATGGGAATTCTGACTTTCACTTTCCAAGGCTGTAGGATTTTCACTACTCAAACCATCATAATCTAAATTGGCCTCAGAATTCACATTGACATCTACACTGGCATCAGGAAATACAATCAGAAAATCAGGTTCAGGTTCACACACAGGCTGAACCCCAACAACATTGAACATCTCAATGGGGAGAAACTGTTCCAAGACACACGAAAAACAGACCTCACTACCTCTGAGGATGCTTGCCATAGATGCAGGTGAAACATCAGGGGGGAATGCCTCTAGAACATGGCCATATAGCCCAAAAAAACCTACAACAACCCAGTGATTCCGGCCATGAAAGCCTTCGACAATTGTGCATAATGACGTTTTTAGTTCGTATTTCGGATAAAATTCGTAGAATTCGTGCATACGAATTAATATTCAAAATGTGCAGGAAAAACCTACAACAACCTAGAAATTATGCACACCTGAGCCACCATCTTTTTTGAGATGATCAAAGGTTGCTCCAGTTCTAGGGTTCTCCCTTGTTCCGGAACAGAGCGGAGTGGTGTGGCAGGCAAAGCAGCACCGCTGCCGATTTCGATTCGCGAACGAATGCTACAAAACATACAAAAAGTCCAAGGAAGGAAAGTGCCTTGCGATGGCGGTACAAAATGCCAGGAAAGAGGGCCGTCTAGATCCAGGGGAGGAAGGAGTGTGTGTAGAAGGCGTCCACATTGGCCGCGTAGTCGAGGGGCAGGGCTTGCCCGATGTGCCTGGCCCCCAGGCTGGCTCCCCCCAGCGCCGAGGACTGCTTCAGCTTCAGGAGGCTGAACCGGGAGAAGGCACTGACCGGGCGCTCGCTCTGGGCCTGGTCGAGAACCCCGAGGAACCCTGCAAGGGAAGGAGAAGGGGGGAAAGAAAGAAAGGGCGTGACATCTTTGCAATGTTGTGTGTTTTGACTCTGCTGTCACCCACCCCAATTATTATTATTATTATTATTCACATTGGGGTGTTGTGTAGTTTCTGGGCTGTGTGGCCAAAGTCTTCCAGCAGCATTTTCTCCTGACGTTTCGCCTGCAAATGCTGCTAGGAGAAAACGCTGCTAGAACACAGCCATACATAATGCCCATACATAATCTATATAAATAAAAATGTAATGTTCGTTTGTGGGATTAACAGAACTCGAAAACCACTGGACGAATTGACACCAAATTTGGACACAAGACACCCAACAACCCAATGTATGTCCTCCACTCAAAAACATTGATTTTGTCATTTGGGAGTTGTTGTCCACCTACAATCAAAGAGCATTCTGAATTCCGTCAATGATGGAATTGAACCAAACTTGGCACCCAGTTCTCCCATGACCAACAGAAAATACTGGAAGGGTTTGGTGGGTAGTGTCCTTTGGTTTTGGAGTTATAGTTCACCTACATCCAGAGAGCACTGTGGACTCAAAAAATGGGGGATCTGGACCAAGCTTGGCACGAATACTCCATATGCCCAAATATGAACACTGGTGGGGTTTGGGAAAAATAGAATCTTGACATTTGGGAGTTGTAGTTGCTGGGATTTATAGTTCACCTACAATCAAAGAGTATTCTGAACTCCACCAATGATGGAATTGAGCCAAACTTGGCACACAGAACTCTCATGTTCAAGAGAAAATACTGGAAGGGTTTGGTGGGCAGTGTCCTTTGGTTTTGGAGTTGTAGTTCACCTACATCCAGAGATCTCTGTGGACTCAAACAATGATGGATCTGGGCCAAACTTTACACGAATACTCAATCTGTCGGGAGGGCTTAGACGGCATTTCCTCCAACCCATGGCTCTCAAACCTTGCCACTCACCTTCTTTCATCATTTCCCAGCTGTTCCAGACGGACCCGACGCACACAATGGGCAAGCCCAGCTCCCCTTGGAAAAGGCTCTGCAAGAATAACAACAACAACAACGTTATTCATGTCCCATCCCCTCTCCTCTCCTAGAAGGGTCTTGGGGCAGCATACAGCAAGTAACAGTTAGTACATAAAGATTGGGTTGTTGTAGGTTTTTTCGGGCTATATGGCCATGTTCTAGAGGCATTTTCTCCTGACGTTTTGCCTGCATCTATGGCAAGCATCCTCAGAGGTTGTGAGGTCTGTTGGAACTAGGAAAAAGGGTTTATGTATCTGTGGAATAATGTCCAGGGTGGGGCAAAGGACTTTGTCTGCTGGAGCTAGGTGTGAATGTTTCAACTGATCACCTTGATTGGCATTAGACGAGGTGATTAGATGTCCTGTCAGGCCATCAAATGCTAATCAAGGTGGTCAGTTGAAACATTCACACCTAGCTCCTAAAAATCCTAAAAATCACAAAAGGTTTATTTACAAGGATAAGAACTAACGGCATTTCTTCATAATCAAGAACTGGGTCTGAGCTATTCCAAGAAGGAGGAGGAGAAGGAGAAGGACAGATTAGAGAGATGAAGGGCCAAAACTAACAAAATGAAGTTCAAGAGGGACAAATGCAAGAGACTCCACTTTGGCAGGAAAAACGAAATGCAAAGATACAGAATGGGGGATGATGAGGCCTGGCTCGAGAGCAGTACGGGTGGAAAAGATCTTAGAATCCTCGTGGACAACAAGTTAAACATGAGCCAACAATGTGATGTGGCGGCAAAAAAAGCCAATGGTATTTTGGCCTGCATCAAGAGGAGCTTAGTGTCTAGATCTAGGGAAGTCGTGCTCCCCATGCTCTCTTCCGCTTTGGTTAGACCACATCTGGAATATTGTGTCCAATTCTGGGCACCACAATTCAAGAGAGATCTTGACAAGCCGGAATGTGTCCAGAGGACGACTCAAAGGATCAAGGATCTGGAGAACAAGCCCTATGAGGAGCGGCTTAAGGAGCTGGGCATGTTTAGCCTGAAGAAGAGAAGGCTGAGAGGAGATATGATAGCCATGTATAAATATGTGAGAGGAAGCCACAGGGAGGAGGAGGGAGCAAACTTGTTTTATGCTTCCCTGGAGTCTAGGACTCAATGGAACAATGGCTTCGAGAAGAGTCAGGGGAAAGGTTAAGTTCTCATGAGAAAGTTCCTGCCATGGGAAGGCAGGAAAGTTTACTCCCTTCTCCAGGCTCAAGTTTGCAAGATAGTTCCACACCTGCTGCAGTTAATGAAGAGATAGATAAGACCAGTCACTGTCTGGAAATCAGCCAGAACCATAGAGAGGCCCAATGTTTACGTAGGTCAGAAAGAATTTGGCAGTTAAGGTCAAAGACTGGGGGGGAGTAGGAACCAGTTTTTGGGACTTAAATTGAGCTTTTAGGGAATTTCCTTTAGACCAGGCATCGTTTGGTTTCAAGTCAAGTCTCCTGGATATTCTTGTTTCATGTGGCCTCGTCTCCAAGGTTTCCTGGCTTTTCAAGTGGATTAGCAATGGCTATGTTCATGGTTTTATATTGAAGGCTTTTGGTATGTCTTTGCATCTGGATTCTTACAGCAAGCTTTTGGAACTTTGCTATTATTCCTATGTTTGGATACTGTTTATGTTTGCTGCTTATTTGGCTTTTTGCTTTTGGACTTTTATCAACTTTATATTTGTCTCTTTTATTGGCTCCAGTTATTCTTCAAATAAAGACGACTCTTCTTTCATCCAAGGTGTGGTGTAATTAAAGATTAGAGCAATGTTTCTCAACCTGGGGGTCGGGACCCCTGTGGGGGCCGCAAGGGGGTCACCAAAGACCATCAGTAAACATAGTATTTTCTGTTGGCCATGGGGGTTCTGTGTGGAAAGTTTGGTCCAATTCTATCGGTGGGGTTCAGAATGCTATTTCATTGTGAGTGAACTATAAATCCCAACAATTACAACTCCCAAATGGCAAGGTCTATTTTCTCCAAACTCTACCAGTGTTCACATTTGGACATATTGAGTATTTGTGCCAAGTTTGATCCAGATCCATCCTTGCTTGAGTCCACAGTGCTTTCTGGAGATAGGTGAACTACAACACCCAAGATCAAGGGCAATGCTCGCCTAACCCTTTCACTGTTTTTTGCTGGTCATGGGTGTTCTCTGAGAGTGTCTTGGACTGCGAGAAGATCCAACCAGTCCATCCTCCAGGAAGTAAAGCCCGGCTGCTCACTGGAGGGAAGGAGACTAGAGACAAAGTTGAAGTCCTTTGGCCACATCATGAGGAGACAGGAAAGCCTAGAGAAGGGAATGATGCTGGGGAAAGTGGAAGGCAAAAGGAAGAGGGGCCGACCAAGGGCAAGATGGATGGATGGCATCCTTGAAGTGACTGGACTGACCTTGAAGGAGCTGGGGGTGGTGACGGCCGACAGGGAGCTCTGGCGTGGGCTGGTCCATGAGGTCACCTAAGAAGACAATGATGCTGGGGAAAGTGGAAGGCAAAAGGAAGAGGGGCCGACCAAGGGCAAGATGGATGGATGGCATCCTTGAAGTGACTGGACTGACCTTGAAGGAGCTGGGGGTGGTGACGGCCACAGGGAGCTCTGGAGTGGGCTGGTCCATGAGGTCACCTACAGAAGACAATGATGCTGGGGAAAGTGGAAGGCAAAAGGAAGAGGGGCCGACCAAGGGCAAGATGGATGGATGGCATCCTTGAAGTGACTGGACTGACCTTGAAGGAGCTGAGGGTGGTGACGGCCGACAGGGAGCTCTGGCGTGGGCTGGTCCATGAGGTCACGAAGAGTCGGAGACGACTGAACGAATGAACAACAACAACATGGGTGTTCTGTGTGCCAAGTTTGGGTCAATTCCATCGTTGGTGGAGTTCAGAATGCTCTTTGATTGTAGGTGAACTATAAATCCCAGCAACCACAACTCCCAAGGTCCAGAGAATGAAAATACATCCTGCCTATCAGATATTTACATGCTGATTCATAACAGGAGCAAAATTCCAGTTCAATGAAAATAGCAATGAAAGTAATTTTAGGGTTGGGGTCACCACAACATGAGGAACTCTATTAAGGGGTCAAGATGTTAGGAAGGTTGAGAAGCACTGGATTAGAGGGTCCTGTTCTTGCTCTAGGGTGCAACAACCACCACCTTCAACAGAGCAGGTTCACCTGGATCCAGGTCTTACCTTGTCGACTTTGGGCAACACAGCAAGGATGTGTCTGGCAAGGACTTCCCCGGCCCTGTTGAACACGTAGCGGCAAAGGGGGTCCCCTGCCTCGGCTCCTGCGGGGAGGAAAGACAGAGGGAGATGACCTTTCTATTGCTTTCAAGTCAAGACGGCAATGCTCTCGGTGGACTTCTCCTCCTGACTTGTGACAACATACTGCAATATGAAGCCTGATTTCCACAACATTGGTTTGACGCACATGGAAATACATGAGAAATAGAATCATAGAATCCTAGAAGAGTTGGAAGAGACCTCCTGGCCCATCCAGTCCAACCCCATTCTGCCAAGAAGCAGGAATATTGCATTCAAATCATCCCTGACAGATGGCCACCCAGCCTCTGCTTAAAAGCTTCCAAAGAAGGAGCCTCCACCACACTCCGGGGCAGAGAGTTCCACTGCTGAACGGCTCTCACAGTCAGGAAGTTCTTTCTCATGTTCAGACGGAATCTCCTCCCTTGTAGTTTGAAGCCATTGTTCCCTTGCGACCTAGTCTCCTCCACCACACTCCGGGGCAGAGAGTTCCACTGCTGAACAGCTCTCACAGTCAGGAAGTTCTTCCTCATGTTCAGGTGGAATCTCCTCTCTTGTAGTTTGAAGCCATTCCTCCATTGCATCCTAGTCTCCAAGGAAGCAGAAAACAAGCTTTCTCCCTCCTCCTCCCTGTGGCTTCCTCTCACATATTTATACATGGCCCTTATCATGTCTCCTCTCAGCCTTCTCTTCTTCAGGAAAAACATGCCCAGCTCCTTAAGCCACTCCTCATAGGGCTTGTTCTCCAGACCCTTGATCTGCTCCCTCCTCCCTATGGCTTCCTCTCACATATTTATCCATGGCTCTCATCATGTCTCCTCTCAGCCTTCTCTTCTTCAGGCTAAACATGCCCAGCTCCTTAAGCCGCTCCTCATAGGGCTTGTTCTCCAGACCTTCTATCATTTTAGTCGCTCTCCTCTGGACACATTCCAGCTTAGAGTCAATCTCTCTCTTGAATTGTGCCCAGAATTGGACACAATATTCCAGATGTGGTCTAACCAAAGCAGAATAGAGCATGGGGAACATGACTTCCTTAGATCTAGACACTCGGCTCCTCTTGATGCAGGCCAAAATCCCATTGGCTTTTTTTGCCGCCACATCCCATTCCTGGCTCATGTTTAACTTGTTGTCCACGAGGACTCCACGATCTTTTTCACACGTACTGCTCTCAGGTCAGGCATCCCCCATTCTGTATCTTTGCATTTCGTTTTTCCTGCCAAAGTGGAGTGTTCCCTCGCGGGTGTGACGTTCCAGGACCACCCGCGAAAAGTGAAAATCCACGAAGTTGGGACGCAGGAGCCTGGAAGAGGTGGCCAGGCTCCTGCCCCCACTGTTGCCTTTCTGGCCCTCCCTCGCTTGCTCACCCGCCCTCCCTTGCTCACTCACTACTCACCAGGCCGGCTCCCGGTGGCAGAACCAGGACTCGACCCGGTGAGTAGCAAGGAAGGAAAACCACGAAACAGTGAGTCTGCGACAAGCGAACTGCGAAGTAGCAAGGGAACACTGTACACATATATAGGCAAACATTCAATGCCTTGTATACAGTGAACAAGGACATACAATACACAAGCAAAGGCAAAGATTTCCCTTTCCATCTCTGGCGTCCGGAGGTGATGCTCAACTCTAGCCATGGGGAGATTTATTTATTTATTTACTGTATTTGTATACCACCCTCTCAGTCTGCTGGAGCTGTCTTCATAGACCTGTCAGCAGCCTATGATACTGTGAACCACTGCTTCCTCCTGAGAAAAATGTATAGTATCACAAAGGACGACCACCTCACCCACCTCAGAGGAAACGTGCTACAAAACAGGAGCTTTTTTGTTGAGTTCCAGGGCCAGAGAAGCAGATGGCGGAAACAGAAGAGGGGCCTGCCTCAGGGGAGCGTGCTTGCTCCATCCATGTTCAACATCTACACAAATGACCAGCCACGGCCAGAAGGGACAGAGAGATTCATCTATGCTGATGATCGTGCCATCACCGCTCAAGCAGGGAGCTTTGAGATGGTTGAACAGAAGCTCTCCGAAGCTCTAGGTGCTCTTACTGCCTATTACAGGGGAAACCAACTGATCCCCATCCCATCTAAAACACAGGAGTGTGCTTTTCATTTCAAGAACAGACAGGCATCCCGAGCTCTGAGGATTATTACCTGGGAAGGAATCCCACTGGAGCATTGCAGCACACCCAAATACCTGGGAGTCACTTTGGACCGTGCTCTGACCTACAAGAAGCACTGCCTGAACATCAAGCAAAAAGTGGGCGCTAGAAACAACATCATACGAAAGCTGACTGGCACAACCTGGGGATCACAACCAGACACAGTGAAGACATCTGCCCTTGCGCTATGCTACTCTGCTGCTGAGTACGCATGCCCAGTGTGGAACACATCTCACCACGCTAAAACAGTGGATGTGGCTCTGAATGAGACATGGAGTGTCTGCGCCCTACACCACTGGAGAAATTACACTGCTTAGCCGGTATTGCACCACCTGACATCCGCCGGGAAGTAGCAGCCAATAGTGAAAGGACCAAGGCAGAGACATCTCCAGCTCATCCCTTGTTTGGGTATCAGCCAGCACGTCAACGACTTAAATCAAGAAATAGTTTTCTAAGATCTACAGAGACACTCGCTGGAACACCCCAGCAAGTGAGAGTCCAAAAGTGGCAGGCTCAAACCCAGAACTGATACCAAATGAGAGACTCCCCTGGGCACACAGAGGACTGGGCGACTTGGAAGGCGCTGAACAGACTGTGCTCTGGCACCACGAGATGCAGAGCCAACCTTCAGAAATGGGGCCACAAAGTGAAATCCACAACATGTGATTGTGGAGAAGAGCCAACCACTGACCACCTGCTGCAATGCCACCTGAGCCCAGCCACATGCACAAGGGAGGACCTTCTTGCGGCAACACCAGAGGCACTCCAAGGGAACAGAGACTGGTCAAAGGACATTTAATCAACTACCAAACTTGCAAATTTTGTATTTTGTCTGTTTGTTTGTTCTGTTCCGTTAGAAATGTAATACAATTGACTGATTGCCCTGACACAACAAATAAAAGTCTGCTGGTGACTCGAGGCGGTTTACAAGGCATTATTCAATGCCACCAAAAACACAAGTACAATATAAAACATAACATCAATACAATCATAACAGCTGGTAGGCTGTTAGGAATGGTGGGAGTTGGAGTCCAAAACACCTGGAGGGCCAAAGTTTGCCTGTATCTGGTTGAAAGGCAGAGTGAGCCAAAGCCTTGCCCCACCTTCCCAACTGTCTTCCACTCAAGAACCCGCCTGTCGTCCTCCCTCGACTCACCTGCAGCCACCTTCCGACAAAACCCTGCAAACTTGGACTTCTCGAAGGTGCGGTAGAGGTGCGTCAGGAGCCCCATCCGGCCAGAGACCTGCAGAAACAGAGGGCAGAAGAGAAGCCTTTGGGAGGCCGCGAGAGGGAGAGGCCGGCACAACACAGGGCTCCTCTCCCCAAAACATCGCTGTTCTCATCCTCTGTTTAGGAAGCACAAATCTACACCACGCTGTGGATTTAATGCAGCTTCACACCACTTTGGGTGCCATAGCCTTGTACTCGAAAAGTTAGTGGAAGCTCCTTCCTTGGAGGCTTGCATACAGAGGCTGGATGGCCATCTGTCGGGGTGGCTTTTGTTGGGAGTTTTAAAACATACTACCCTATTCTGAAGATAAAATGCTGGGTTACTTTGAGTATTGTAATTCCAGAGTCACAGTTACAGGGTTTAAGTACAGTAGAGTCTAGTTTATCCGACATCAATGACATCAACGGGCCGGCAGAATGTCAGATAAACAAAAATGTCGGATAATACGGAGTCTCCTACTTCTACCTGTCTTAGACAGAGGGAGCCACAGCCCCGCTCTTCTCTTCCGCTCGAGGAGAAACGTACCTGGAAGTAGTCGCACATGGCCTGGTGGACGTAGGTGATGTCGTGGGGCGGGGCCTCCAGGTTGTCCAAGGCGTCAAACACCACCTTGATGGCCAGGTGGGAGATCCAATAGGCTGTGAGGGACCAAAAGGAAGCTGAGGCCATTTTGCCCACGTCTCTGAGGAACACCCCAATGCCAGCCCCAAACTCAATAAAGCTTCCAAGGAGCTGTAAGGTAGGATTGTATTGACTGCAACCCCATTGTGTAATAATGTTGGAAAATACAGTTCTAAAGGACATGTGGTCACACACCCACTGAAGGGTTAAGTGGGTGGTGATGTGTAACTAGAGGGGTATGCAAAAGGAGCTGAGTCATGACCCTGTGACACGCGTGACAAGAGTTGCATCATTCACGGTTGACCCTATTTGATGACGAGAAGCGCCAGGTATAAAAGAAGGCAGCAAGCATGTGTTGTCTCTCTTGCCATGATTGTCTCACTTCTCGCTGTACATCCATTATTGATACTTGTGAGTATATCTACATGAAACCGCTGGGTGAGGTTATCCGGAGTTTTGGAGTTGGGTGCCATCTGTATGTAGATGACACCCAACTCTACTCCTCATTTCCACCTAATTCCAAGGAAGCCTCCCAGATCCTGAACTGGTGTCTGACTGCTGTGATGGACTGGATGAGGGCTAACAGGTTGAAGCTTAATCCAGACAAGACAGAGGTCCTCCTGGTCAGTCGCGGGGCCAACCGGGGTATTGGGTGGCAACCTGTGCTCGACGGGGTTGCACTCCCCCTGAAGGCGCAGGTCCATAGCTTGGGGGTTCATCCGGGATTCAACACTGTCACTTGATGCTCAGGTGTCAGTGGTGGCCGGGAGGGCCTTTGCACAACTCAAACTTGTGCGCCAGCTGCAACCATACCTCGTGAAGTCTGATTTGGCCAGTGTGGTCCACGCCTTGGCTACATCCAAACTGGATTACTGCAATGCACTCTACGTGGGGCTGCCCTTGAAGACGGCCCGGAAATTTGAACTGGTATAGCGGGTGGCTGCCAGGCTCCCTCCTGGAACAAACTATAGGGAGCATACAACACCCCTATTTAAACAACCTCATTGGCTGCCGATAAGTTGCCGAGCCAAATTCAAGGTGCAGGTCATGACCTATAAAGCCCTAAATGGTTCAGGCCCCGCCTATCTCTGTGATCGCATTTCCTTCTATGAACCGGTGTGAGCTCTAAGATCTTCCGGGGAGGCCCTCCTCTCGGTCCCACCTCCGTCACAAGTACGGTTGGTTGGGACGAGAGAGAGGGCCTTCTAGGTGGTGGCCCCCTGCCTCTGGAACGCCCTTCCAAGGGAAATAAGACAGCTCACATCCTTCCCATCCAATTAGGACCTAGTGGTTTCAACAAGCCTGTGAAAATGACCAGTTCTAACTCACTTACACATTGTCAAATGCGGCCCTCTTCTTCCTACCAGTTACCCTGATCACTTCCTCTAATCCAGCGTTTCTCAACCTGGGGGTCGGGACCCCTGGGGGGGTCGCGAGGGGGTGTCAAAGGGGTCCCCAAAGACCATCAGAAAACACAGTATTTTCTGTTGGTCATGGGAGCTCTGTGTAGGCAGTTTGGCCCAATTCTATCATTGATGGAGTTCAGAATGCTCTTTGGTTGTAGGGGAACTATACATCCCCGCAACGACAACTCCCAAATGTCAACTTCTGTTTTCCCCAAACTCCACCAGTGTTCACATTTGGGCATATGGAGTATTTGTGCCAAGTTTGGTCCAGATCCATCATTGTTTGAGTCCACAGTGATCTCTGGTTGTAGGTGAACTACAACTCCCAAACTCAAGGTCAATGCCCACCAAACCCTCCCAGTATTTTCTGTTAGTCATGGAAGTTCTGTGTGTCAGCTTTGGCTGATTTCCATTGTTGGTGAAGTTCAGAATGCTCTTTGATTGTAGTTGAACTATAAATCCCAGCAACTACAAGGACAAAAATAATCCCTCCCCAAATCCCACCAGTATTCAAATTTGGGCATATCAGGTTTTTGTGCAAATTTGGTCCAGTGAATGGAAATACAACCTGCAGATCTGATATTTATTTACATGACGATTCATAACAGTAGCAAAATGAGAGTTGTGAAGTAGCAATGGAAATAATGTTATGGTTGGGGGTCACCACAACATGAGGAACTGTATTAAGGGGTCACGGCATTAGGAAGGTTGAGAACCACTGCTCTAATCGGCCCCGGAATGAACAGCCACAGACTCGTGTCTAATATTATTGTTGCCTGCCATAGCACTGCACTTAATTTTTGCCCCCCCCCCCCCCCAGAAGTTCTGGCCTTGCACATATTGTCCCGGTCTTTCAAAATTTTAAATTACCTTGAACAAGAAGGATTACTTTTAAAATATGTGTGTTATTGCGACAATTTTTATGTTTATATTTTGTTTGTTAATCTTGTGGTTGTGTTGTTTTTACTCTGTATGTTTTGTGATGTTACCTGGGAACTGCTCTGAGTCCCCTCGGGGAGATGGAGCCATCTATATATATAAATTGGAAAAGGGCGTCGTAAGGGGCCGCAAAACGCGAAAAACCCCGGACGAAAAAACACCAAACTTGGCGGATGCATACCTTAAACCACAAGGTATGCACTAATTATTATTATTATTATTATTATTATTATTATTATATCTGCATATTTATTTTATTTTATTTACAGTATTTATATACCGCTTTTCTCACCCCCTAGAGCAGTGGTTCTCAGCCTTCCTAATGCCGTGACCCCTTAATACAGTCCCTCATGTGGTGGTGACCCCCAACCATAACATTGTTTTTGTTGCTACTTCATAACAGTCATTTTACTATTGTTATAAGTCATAATGTAAATATCAGATATGCAAGATGTATTTTCATTCACTGGACCAAACTGGGCACAAATACCCAATGCACCAACATGTAAATGCTAGTGGAGTTGGGGAAGGATTGATTTTGTAATTTGGGAGTTGTAGTTTCTGGGATTTATAGTTCACCTATAATCAAAGAGCATTCTGAACTCCATCAGCAATGGATTTGAACCTAATTTGCCACCCAGAACTCCCATGACCAATGGAAAACATTTGAAGGGTTTGGTGGGTATTGACCTTGAGTTTGGGAGTTGTAGTTCACCTATATCCAGAGAGCACTGTGGACTCACGCAATGGTGGATCTGGATCAAACTTGGCACAAATACTCAATATGCGCAAATGTGAACAACTGGTGGAACCTGGGGAAAATAGACCTTGACTTTTGGGGGTTATAGTTGCTGGGAGTTATAGTTCATTACAATCAAAGAACATTCTGAACTCCACCAACGATAGAATTGGCTCAAACTTCCCACATGGAATCCCCATGACTATCAGAAAATACTGTGTTTTCTGATGGTCTTTGGCGACCCCTCTGACACCCCTTCGCGACCCCCTCAGGGGTCCCGACCCCCAGGTTGAGAAACACTGCCCTAGAGGGACTCAATGCAATTGACCGACAGGAGATCAGTGGATCCTGATGTGTGTGTATTTTGTACATAAAGCAACATCTCAAGATCAAAATCCTTCAGTGTGCATTTGGATGAAAACTGAGTGAAAGAGTTTTCTTAAACAGTGAGCGATACAAGGAGAGGTTGTGCAGTAAATCTCTGCTGACAACTGAGAAGGACTCTGCTATGTTTTGGTTGTTTTGTAAAGCTTGCCTCTGAGACAATCAGTCTGGTGCGCAGTGTACCTAGGGAGGACGTGATCAGGAAGGACCAAACTATAAATCACGCACCTATCCTGCTGTTTTTCTGACAGGAGAAATGACCCGACAGCCAGGCGTGATATTAAATAAGAAATCCACTCAAGAACAAAGTAGTTTGTTCTCCTAGTGAGGACAACTTCTGTGAACTTTTTTTCTGACTTTCCTATTCTTAGTGAATGAACTGTTATCATTTTTACTTTTAAAAAGCACAACTGACTCAAGAGTATTTTTGGGTTGTTGTAGGTTTTTTCAGGCTGTATGGCCATGGTCTAGAGGCATTCTCTCCTGACATTTCGCCTGCATCTATGGTTTATACATCTGTGGGATGACCAAGGTGGGACAAAGGACTCTTGTCTGCTGGAGCTAATCTAATCACCTTTCAACAAAAGTATGCTCCAGGCACTGTCAGGCCATTATATGCTAATCAAGGTGGTCAGTTGAAACATTCACACCTAGCTCCAGCAGACAAGAGTCCTTTGTCCCACCCTGGTCATTCCACAGATAGATAAACCCATTTTTCCTACTTCCAACAGACCTCACTACCTCTGAGGATGCTTGCCATAGATGCAGGCGAAACATCAGGAGAGAATGCCTCTAGGCCATGGCCATACAGCCCGAAAAAACCTACAACAAGAGTATTTTTGTTCGTCAGGACATTTGAATTCAAGACCACGCTGCATAAAAAGAGACTAGTAAAGTTAAAGGTTTACCCCTGACAGTAAGTCTAATCGTGTCCAACTCTGGGACTGTGGAGCTCATCTCCATTTCTAAGCCAAAGAGCCGGCGTTGTCCATAGACACCTCCAAGGTCATGTGGCCAGCGGCATGACTGCATGGAGTGCTGTTACCTTCCCGCCGGAGTGATACCTACTGATCTACTCACATTTGCATGTTTTCGAACTGCTAAACGACTCCGGCACTGTTTACCTCTCCGAACATATTCTCCCCTATGAACCATCAAGATTATTAAGATCGTCTGGAGAGGCCCTGCTCTCGGTCCCACCGGCCTCGCAAGCGAGCCTGGTGGGGACGAGGGACAGGGCCTTCTCGGTGGTGGCCCCTCGACTCTGGAACTCTCTCCCCCTGTTTACCTCTCCGAACATATTCTCCCCTATGAACCATCAAGATTATTAAGATCGTCTGGAGAGGCCCTGCTCTCGGTCCCACCGGCCTCGCAAGCGAGCCTGGTGGGGACGAGGGACAGGGCCTTCTCGGTGGTGGCCCCTCGACTCTGGAACTCTCTCCCCCTGTTTACCTCTCCGAACATATTCTCCCCTATGAACCATCAAGATTATTAAGATCGTCTGGAGAGGCCCTGCTCTCGGTCCCACCGGCCTCGCAAGCGTGCCTGGTGGGGACGAGGGACAGGGCCTTCTCGGTGGTGGCCCCTCGACTCTGGAACTCTCCCCCTGTTTACCTCTCCGAACATATTCTCCCCTATGAACCATCAAGATTATTAAGATCGTCTGGAGAGGCCCTGCTCTCGGTCCCACCGGCCTCGCAAGCGAGCCTGGTGGGGACGAGGGACAGGGCCTTCTCGGTGGTGGCCCCTCGACTCTGGAACTCTCTCCCCCTGTTTACCTCTCCGAACATATTCTCCCCTATGAACCATCAAGATTATTAAGATCGTCTGGAGAGGCCCTGCTCTCGGTCCCACCGGCCTCGCAAGCGAGCCTGGTGGGGACGAGGGACAGGGCCTTCTCGGTGGTGGCCCCTCGACTCTGGAACTCTCTCCCCCTGTTTACCTCTCCGAACGTATTCTCCCCTATGAACCATCAAGATTATTAAGATCATCTGGAGAGGCCCTGCTCTCGGTCCCACCGGCCTCGCAAGCGCGTCTGGTGGGGACGAGGGACAGGGCCTTCTCGGTGGTGGCCCCTCGACTCTGGAACTCTCTCCCCGTTTACCTCTCCGAACATATTCTCCCCTATGAACCATCAAGATTATTAAGATCGTCTGGAGAGGCCCTGCTCTCGGTCCCACCGGCCTCGCAAGCGCCTGGTGGGGACGAGGGACAGGGCCTTCTCGGTGGTGGCCCCTCGACTCTGGAACTCTCTCTCACAGGAGATCAGAACCGCCCCTTCTATCCTGACATTTAGGAAACAGGTGAAGACTTCGCTATAGAGACAGGCATTCGACGAGTGAGCCAACACCCTGAGATATGGATGGAGGATGGTGACCAACGATTTTAGTGTGACGACTGACCATTGTAGTTATTGAATGTAATGGCTGTTTTAATGTTTTACTGTAATATGTATTATGATGTTTTGTTGATTGTATGTGATATTATGGTTGGAAACCGGTCTGAGTCCCTCAAGAGAAGCGAGAAGACCGGGATACAAAACTTATAAATAAATAAATAAATGGGTTGGCAGAAGCTAGAGCTAACAGTAGGAGCTCACCCTGCTCCCCGGATTCGAACTGCCAACCTTTCAATAAGCAAGTTCAGCAGCTCAGTGGTTTAACCCACTGTGTCGCCGGGGGCTCCTAAGAAGGATATGTGTTCATACGCTTCCTAATTCTGCCACTGGCTGGAGCGTCCTCACCTGACCCCTCGTCCCCCATCATGTGGCCCCATCCTCCGCAGCTGACCTGGGAGCCGTCCGGGTTGATCAGCTTGCAGTTGGAGCCCGTTCCGGAGATGAGCACCACTCCGCCTGGAAGACGAGAGGAGAGGAGAGGAGAGAAGAGGAGGGAAGAAAGGAAGAAGCGTGAGGCCTTGCGGGACAAAGGGCGAGATGCGCCCATGCCCATTTCAATATTTATTTATTTAGTTAATGTCAAAAGTATTGCATAAATTAATAAGCCCTGTTGTTGATGCACAAGATGCCCCAATATCTCTAATCTCTTTTAATTCCCAAAAGCTGGAAACTATGAGATTAAAATTACAATAGTGTAATTTGGTTGCTGTAGGTTTTCTCGGGCTATATGGCCATGTTCTAGAGGCATTCTCTCCTGACGTTTCGCCTGCATCTATGGCAAGCATCCTCAGATTTATTCGGGCTATATGGCCATGTTCTAGAGGCATTCTCTCCTGACGTTTCGCCTGCATTTATGGCAAGCATCCTCAGTGGTAGTGAGGTCTGTTGGAAGTAGGAAAATGGGTTTATATATCTGTGGAATGACCAGGCTGGGACAAAGGACTCTTGTCTGTTGGAGCTAGGTGTGGATGTTTCAACTGACCACCTTGATTTGCATTTGATGGCCTGGCAGTGCCTGGGGCAATCTTTTGTTGAGCCTTCGAGAATACATATTTACCAGCAGTTTTTAATTCAGTTGTTGGTTCCTCAGAAGTCTGTATGTATGTCCATCCATCCGTCCATCCGTCCATCCATCCATCCATCCATCCATCCATCTACCTATCTACTAATCCATCCATCCATCCATCTATTGACCTTTCTTTCTAGCCATCCATCTACCTATCGACCTACTTATCTATCTACTTATTCATCCATCCATCTATCTATCACTCTATCTATCCATCTTTTTATTTATCTACCACAGATATATAAAATAGGTTTATATATCTGTGGAATGACCAGGGTGGGACAAAGGACTCTTGTCTGCTGGAGCTAGGGGTGAATGTTTCAACTGACCACCTTGATTAGCATTTGGTGGCTTGGCAGTGCCTGGGGGAATCTTTTGTTGAGAAGTGATTAGATGTACCTGATTGTTTTCTCTCTGTTGTTTTGCTGTTGTAATTTTAGAGTTTTTTTTTAATACTGGTAGCCAGATTTTGTTCCTTTTCATGGTCTCTTCCTTTCTGTTGAAATTGTCCACCTGCTTCTTGTGGATTTCAGTGGCTTCTCTGTGTAGCCTGACATGGTGGTTGTTGGTGTGGTCCAGCATTTCTGTGTTCTCAAATAATCTGCTGTGTCCAGGTTGGTTCATCAGGTGCTCTGCTATGGCTGACTTCTCTGGTTGAAGGAGTCTGCAGTGCCTTTCATGTTCCTTGATGCGTGTGTTGGGCAATGCTGCTGCCTTTGGTCGTCCATGTGTAGACTTCTTGTCCACAGAAAGGAGGAAACCATGAAAATGAACAAAATCTGGCTATGATTAGGGCACTGCAGATACTAAAAACCAGACAAGTCAGCCATAGCACCTGATGAACCAACCTGGACACAGCATATTATTATTTGAGAAGACAGAAATGCTGGACCACTCTCACAACCACCATGTCAGGCTACACAGAGAAGCCACTGAAATCCACAAGAAGCATGTGGACAATTTCAACAGAAAGGAGGAGACCATGAAAATGAACAAAATCTGGCTACCAGTATTAAAAAACTCTAAAATTACAACAGCACAACAACAGAGAGTAAACAACCAGGCACATCGAATCACCTCTCAACAAAAGATTGCCCCAGGCACTGCCAGGCCATCAAATGCTAATCAAGGTGGTCAGTTCATAGAATCATCCAGTCCAACTCCATTTCTGCCAAGAAGCAGGAATATTGCATTTATTTATTTATTTATTTATTTATTTGTATGCTTATATACCGCAATATCTCAGCCTACAACGGCGACTCATTGCGGTTAACAGTACTTAAAAACAACAATAATCAAACAATTTAAAAGCATAAAAAACATATACAGTACACAGTATCGGGCCACCAATACCGACCAATGCATCTCTTAGTTAAAATCTAATCCGAATTCATCGTCAATAATTACCAGTCCTTGTCATCAACTTCATCGCACCGGATTACCCGAATGCTTGTTCAAACATCCATGTCTTAAGTTTTTTTCGAAATACCAACAGCGAGGGAGCTGATCTTATCTCTATAGGGAGGGCATTCCAAAGCCGAGGGGCCACCACAGAGAAGGCCCTGTCTCTCGTTCCCACCAGCCGCACTTCTGAAGCCGGAGGGATAGAGAGCAGGGACTCTCCAGAAGATTTTAGGGTCCTGGTGGGCTGATAGGCTGAGATACGTTCGGATAGATAAGTTGGGCCAGAACCGTTTAGGGCTTTAAAGGCCAATGCCAGCACTTTGAATTGGGTCCGGTAGCTAATCGGCAGCCAGTGGAGCTGGTACAGCAGAGGAGTTGTATGCTCCCTGCGCCCTGCTCCTGTTAGTACCATGGCTGCCGCCCGTTGGACTAGTTGGAGCTTCCGGGCCGTCTTCAAAGGCAACCCCACGTAGAGAGCGTTGCAGTAGTCAAGGCGGGATGTAACCAGAGCGTGGACTACCGTGGCCAAGTCAGACTTCCCAAGGTACGGTCGCAGTTGGCGCACGAGTCTTAACTGTGCGAATGCTCCCCTGGTCACCGCCGAAACCTGGGGGTCCAGGCTCAGCGCTGAATCCAGGATCACACCCAAACTGCGAACCTGTGTCTTCAGGGGGAGTGCGACCCCGTCTAACACAGGCTGTAACCCTATACCCTGTTCGGCCTTACGACTGACCAGGAGTACCTCTGTCTTGTCTGGATTCAATTTCAATTTGTTCGCCCCCATCCAGACAGTCACAGCGGCCAAGCACCGGTTCAGGACCTCGACAGCCTCCTTAGTAGCAGGTGGAAAGGAGTGACAGAGTTGAGACATCATCTGCGTACAGATGACATCGCACTCCGAAACTCCGGATGATCTCGCCCAGCGGCTTCATGTAGATGTTAAACAACATGGGAGACAGTATTGAACCCTGAGGAACCCCACAAGACAAAGGTTGTGGGGTAGAACAGGAGTCCCCCAGTAACACCTTCTGAGACCGACCCTCGAGGAATGACCGGAGCCACTGCAAAGCAGTACCTCCCGAGACCCATTCCCGCGAGGCGTCCCAGAAGGATACCGTGGTCGACGGTATCGAAGGCCGCTGAGAGGTCGAGTAGCACCAGCAGGGACACACTCCCCCTGTCGAGCTCCCGACGCAGATCATCCACTAAGGCGACCAAGGCTGTCTCGGTACTATGCCCCGGCCTAAAGCCAGACTGTGCCGGATCCAGATAATCAGTGTCTACCAAGAATGCCTGGAGTTGTGAGGCCACCACACGTTCCAGGACTTTGCCCAAGAAGGGGAGATTGGAAACAGGCCGATAGTTGACGAATTGAGTGGGGTCCAGTGATGGTTTCTTCAACAGCGGTTTTATCACAGCTTGCTTTAAGCTGGCTGGAAATATGCCTTCCCGAAGGGAGGCATTAACCACCACCTTAACCCACTCGGCCAATCCCCCTCTGGCCTCCTTTAGAAGCCAGGATGGGCAGGGGTCTAGGATGCATGTGGTAGCTCTCATTCCTCCAAGCACCTTGTCCACATCCTCGGATTGAACCAATTGAAATGAATCCATCAAAACCGGACAAGCAGATGCTCGTGTTACATCCTCAGAGACTGCCGTTAATATGGTATCCAGACCAGAGCGGATCAAAGCGACTTTGTCTGCAAAGAACTGAGCAAAGGCTTCACAGCGAGCTGCCGAGTCATCAGGGCTCCCATCCTGAATGGTGGGTTTTAACAGGCCTCTGACAACTCGAAACAGTTCGGCCGGACGGTTCTTTGCAGACGCAATAGTGGCCGTAAAGAAAGTTTTCTTTGCGGCTTTTATTGCCGCGGCGTATGACCTTAAAAAGGACACAAACCGTGTTCGGTTTGGCTCGCTCGGATCCGAACGCCACACGCCCTCTAGTTCCCTCTTCTTTCGCTTCAACGCTGCCAGCTCCTCAGTAAACCAAGGGGCTGGTTTAGCTCGGCTACTTGAGAGGGGACGTTCTGGAGCGATCGTGTCTATTGCCCTAGTCATCTCCCCATTCCAGAGAGCGACCAGGGCATCAACAGGATCACCAACCGAGGTGGCGGGAAATTCCCCAAGAGCCATCAGGAATCCCTCCGGATCCATAAGCCTCCTGGGGCGGACCAATTTAATAGGTCCTCCACCTCTGCGGAGGTTAGGGGGTGCAGTAAGTCTAAAGCTGACCAGGTGGTGGTCGGTCCATGGCAACGGAGAGATGGATAACTCCTCAACACCGCCACCTTCCTCCCATCCCTGACAGAAAACCAAGTCCAATGTATGTCCAGCACTGTGGGTGGGGCCAGATACTTGTTGGGACAGCCCCATGGTCGCCATGGTAGACATGAAGTCCTGAGCCGCTCCCGTTCAAAGCACCCCTGACAGATGGCCATCCAGCCTCTGTTTAAAAGCTTCCAAAGAAGGTAGTCAGTTGGTGTTCACAATTGGATAGTGCTAGACAGGAGAACTGGGTTAATCTTTTGTAGTATTCAAGGGCTAGAGGAATTAGCCAGGAATACTGACAGTGGGAACAGGACCTTGCTTATGGTCTGTTTCTTTTATTGCTGAGGAAGGCTAGGCCAAGGTTGTTTGGCTAGATTCCAGAAAGTGGGAATTTGGTTTGGAATTATCATCAGAGATTAGTTTCCTGAGATAATCTCCTGTTTGTCAACGCTAGATTTGAGCCCAGTACCCATCTAAGAATTGTACATCAAACGTAACCAAAAGCTTTTGTGCCATTAACTTACAGAAACCATTACGCATTTGTACCAGAAGAGTTTAAGCCTGTTAAATAAATGTTTCATTATAGTTGACACTTTACAAAAGCCTGTGTGTGAACATCATTGGTATCATTGGTGTGGTGGAGGCTCCTTCTTTGGAAGCTTTTAAACAGAGGCTGGATGGCCATCTGTCAGGGGTGATTTGAATACAATATTCCTGCTTCTTGGCAGAATGGGGTTGGACTGGATGGCCCAGGAGGTCTCTTCCAACTCTTTGATTCTATGATTCTATTTAAACCCTCTGAAGAAAATAAACACTATCGTAACACAAAAGGGTGTTACTAAGTATCCTCTCCACACATATAATCCAGCCTGAGTACTAAACCATAAGGTGGCAGCGTAGCCAATTGAAGAAGCCTTTTAAAAACCTCTCGGTTCGGACGTCATTCAAATATATCTATACACAGTTATATCTTTCCCTGTTTTATCAATTTCCTCCTGTGATTCTTAGTGTGAAGTTCCTTATAATAGCTGGTAGCTTGTGGGATTCACTATTTTAGGAATTCCCTGTTCCTTCTACCTGCTAAAAGAAGCTCCTTGGTGAGACATTCGTTATAGATGGTGACTATGAATGTTGAAGGTATGTGGAATGAACGCTGGGAATATGTGATGCTTCCCCTTTGTCTGTGTAACCAACGTAAGTATTACAAAACCACTACTCGAGTCTGTGTATCTCCTTCTTTCTCTGAAAGGGACTGATGTACTCTGTCCCACTGAAAACGGATTAGAGAACATTCAAAAAGTATTAATGATGGGCCGGGGCTCTTACCACAGTTGGTGGCGGTGGCCATGGCCCCGACGGCATCGGTGGTGATGCAGTAGTTCTCACTCAGGTGCGGGAAGCGGGTCTTCATCTCCTCAATCAGCCTTTGGATGGCTTCCTCTTGCTCCCCTCCGCTCAGAGAGAGGCCCTGCGGAAACAGATCCATTCCCCATCAACATCAAGCAATATAATCATGTATTGTCGAAGGCTTTCATGGCCGGAATCACTGGGTTGTTGTAGGTTTTTCCGGGCTATATGGCCATGTTCTAGAGGCATTCTCTCCTGACATTTCGCCTGCATCTATGGCAAGCATCCTCAGACGTAGTGAGGTCTGTTGGAACTGGGAAAAAGGGTTTATATATCTGTGGAATGACCAGGGTGGGACAAAGGACTCTTGTCTGCTGGGGCTAGGTGGGAATGGGTTGTTGTAGGTTTTTTCGGGCTATATGGCCATGTTCTAGAGGCATTCTCTCCTGACATTTCGCCTGCATCTATGGCAAGCATCCTCAGAGGTAGTGAGGTCTGTTGGAACTGGGAAAAAGGGTTTATATATCTGTGGAATGACCAGGGTGGGACAAAGGACTCTTGTCTGCTGGGGCTAGGTGGGAATGGGTTGTTGTAGGTTTTTTCGGGCTATATGGCCATGTTCTAGAGGCATTCTCTCCTGACATTTCGCCTGGCAAGCATCCTCAGAGGTAGTGAGTTCTGTTGGAACTAGGAAAATGGGTTTATATATCTGTGGAATCACCTCTCAACAAAAGATTGCTCCAGGCACTGCCAGGCAATCAAATGCTAATCAAGGTGGTTAGTTGAAACATTCACACCTAGCTCCAGCAGACAAGAGTCCTTTGTCCCACCCTGGTCATTCCACAGATATATAAACCCACAGATATATAAAAGGGAGCCATGACAGAGGAGGAGGAGGACGAAGAAGAAAAGGGAAAGGAGGAAGAGGAGGAAGAAGAGGATAAGAAGGAGAAGATGAGAAAGAACAGGAAGAAGAGGAGGAAGAGGAAATAGAGAAGTGGAGGAGAAAGTAGAGGAAGACGAAGAAGAAGTAAAGGAAGAAGAAGAAGATGAGCAGGAGGAGGAGGAAATAGAGAAGTAAGAAGAGGAGGAAAAGGAGAAGAAGAGAAAGAATGGAAAGAAGAAGAGGAGGAGGAGGAGGAGGAGGAAGATGAAGAAGTAAAGGAAGAAGAAGAGGAGGAGAAGTAAGCAGAGGTGGAAGAAGAAGAAGAGGAGAAAATGAACAGGAAGAAAAGGAGTAAGAGGAAGAGGAGAAAGAGAAGGAGAAAAAATAAGAAGAGCAGGAAAAGGAGGAGGAGGAAGAAAAAGAAGAGGAGGAAGAAGACGAGGAGGAGGAGGAGAAAGTAGAGGAGGAGGAAGAGGAAGAAAAAGAGAAGAAAAGAAATAACAGGAGGAAGAAGAGGAGGAGGAGGAAGAGGAGGAGAAGAAGTAGAGGAAGAAGAAGAAAAGGAGGAGGAGGAAGAAGAGGAGGAAGAAGAAGAGGAGAAAGAGAAGGAGGAAAAAATAAGAAGAGCAGGAAAAGGAGGAGGGAGGAAGAAAAAGAAGAGGAGGAAGAAGACAAGGAGGAAGAGGAGGAGGAAGTAGAGGAGGAAGAAAAAGAGAAGAAAAGAAATAACAGGAAGAAGAGGAGGAGAAAGATGAAGGAGAAATAAAGGAGGAGGAGGAAAAGGAAAGGGAGGAAGAAGAAGAGGAGGAGGAAGTGGAAGAAGAAGAGGAGGATGAAGGAGAAATAAAGGAGGAGGAAGAAAAGGAAAGGGAGGAAGAAGAAGAAGAGGAAGAAGAAAAGGAAAGGGAGGAAGAAGAAGAGGAGGAGGAAGTGGAAGAGAAAGAAGAAGAGGAGGAGGATGAAGGAGAAATAAAGGAGGAGGAAGAAAAGGAAAGGGAGGAAGAAGAAGAAGAGGAGGATGAAGGAGAAATAAAGGAGGAAGAAGAAAAGGAAAGGGAGGAAGAAGAAGAGGAGGATGAAGGAGAAATAAAGGAGGAGGAAGAAAAGGAAAGGGAGGAAGAAGAAGAAGAGGAAGAAGAAAAGGAAAGGGAGGAAGAAGAAGAGGAGGAGGAAGTGGAAGAGAAAGAAGAAGAGGAGGAGGATGAAGGAGAAATAAAGGAGGAGGAAGAAAAGGAAAGGGAGGAAGAAGAAGAGAGGAGGATGAAGGAGAAATAAAGGAGGAAGAAGAAAAGGAAAGAGGAGGAAGAAGAAGAGGAGAGAGGAGAAAAGGAGGAGGAAAAGGAAAGGGAGGAAGAAGAAGAAGAGGAAGAAGAAAAGGAAAGGGAGGAAGAAGAAGAGGAGGAGGAAGTGGAAGAGAAAGAAGAAGAGGAGGAGGATGGAGGAGAAATAAAGGAGGAGGAAGAAAAGGAAAGGGAGGAAGAAGAAGAGGAGATGAAGGAGAAATAAAGGAGGAGGAAGAAAAGGAAAGGGAGGAAGAAGAAGAGGAGAAGGAAAAGGAGGAAGGAGAGGAAGAAGAGAAAGAGAAAGAAGAAGAAGAAAAGGAAGGGGAGGGGAGGAAGAAGAGGAGGAGGCAGAGGAGGGGTCTACTCACCAGGGAGCGCAGAGGGACCTCCGGATCGGCGCCCGCCTTCCCCTTGGCTTCGTTGACCATGGCGTTGATCCTCTCCAGGCATTTGTCCAAACCAACCAGCTGTCCGTCAAGACAAAGAAAGAGAATGGGGATTAGAGACAGACAGAAAAGTACAAGAGAGGAGATTCCCTCTGAACACGAGGAAGAACTTCCTGACTGTGAGAGCCGTTCAGCGGTGGAACTCTCTGCCCCGGAGGGAGTGTGGTGGAGGCTCCTTCTTTGGAAGCTTTTAAGCAGAGGCTGGATGGCCATCTGTCAGGGGTGCTTTGAATGCAATATTCCTGCTTCTTGGCAGAATGGGGTTGGACTGGATGGCCCTAAAGGTCTCTTCCAACTCTTGGATTCTAGGATTCTATAAGTAGAGAGTGTTGGAAATAGCAAATGCAGCCTGGCAGCACCTGAACTGGCATGGCTCCATGATATGGAACATAGTTTGCTAAGGTCTTGACCCGAACTACAACTCCCAGGACTCCATAGCCTTGAGCCAGGGCAGGTAAACTGGGACCCAATGGCACTCATTCTCCACTCTTAATGCACTCAGTGATATGAAATCATGGGATTTGTAGTTTGGGTAGACAGCAGCGCCCTTTGGCGGCGAAAGCCTTGCAAGACTACAACTCCCATCATCCCATAGCATTAATAGTAATAATAATAATAATAATAAGTCCCAGGGGGACTCGGGGCGGCTTACATCAGGCCACACCCAACAATACAGTAAACAATACAGTAAACACGATCTATATAAATAAAAATGTCATGTTTGTTTGTGGGATGAGCATAACTCAAAAACCACTGGACGAATGGACACCAAATTTGGACTCAAGGCACCTCTCAGGCCAACGAGTGACCATCACTCATAAAAACACTGAAAAAACACAGCAGAAGAGACTTAAAAAGCCAAAAATTAAAAAATACACTACAACACATGTTCAAAACCACACACACACACACATATCTGCAAACATACACATATACACAAATATACACACACACACAAAGCACATATACACAGACAGCCACAGCAACGCGTGGCAGGGGACGGCTAGTATAACACAAAAACACAACAGAAAATCAGAAAATAAAATACATAAGATGCAAAAACCAATATAAATAAGCGACCCAGCAGCATAAAATCAAACATTAAAACACAAATGACCCAGTGGCCGTTAAAGTGGTAAAAAAGTGTGTCAATTCTGCACTGTAGATGCATCCGTAGTTAATATAGTTGGGATTCATCACAATGCAGGAAGCCGCTCACTGATCCTATTGCGAAATTAATTGAAATTTTGTGCTAAGACACAAAAGAGACATGCACAAGAAGTGGAAAAAGGGAGAAATCACCAAAGAAGAATTCAAACAAATAGCCAACACCTGTAGGGAAAAGGTCCGCAAGGCTAAAGCACGAAACGAGCTCAGGCTTGCCAGGGACATTAAAAACAACAAAAAGGGCTTCTTTTCTTATGTCAGTAGAAAAAGGAAAAACAAGGAGGCGAGAGGGCCTCTTCGAGGAGAAGATGGGGCCATGCTGACAGGGGATGATAGGGAAAAGGCAGAACTACTTTGATTCTATATTGTGTCCAGTTCTGGGCACCACAATTCAAGAGAGATATTGACAAGCTGGAATGTGTCCAGAGGAGAGCGACTAAAATGATAAAAGGTCTGGAGAACAAGCCCTATGAGGAGCGGCTTAAGGAGCTGGGCATGTTTAGCCTGAAGAAGAGAAGGCTGAGAGGAGATATGATAGCCATGTATAAATATGTGAGAGGAAGCCACAGGGAGGAGGGAGCAGATCAAGGGTCTGGAGAACAAGCCCTATGAGGAGCGGCTTAAGGAGCTGGGCATGTTTGGCCTGAAGGGGAGAAGGCTGAGAGAAGATATGATGAGGGCCATGTATAAGTATTTGGAGGAAGCCACAGGGAGGAGGAGGGAGCAAGCTTCCTTTCTGCTTCCCTGGAGACGAGGACGCAATGGAGCAATGGCTTCAAACTACAAGAGAGGAGATTCCACCTGAACATGAGGAAGAACTTCCTGACTGTGAGAGCCGTTCAGCAGTGGAACTCTCTGCCCTGGAGGGAGTGTGGTGAAGGCTCCTTCTTTGGAAGCTTGTAAGCAGAGGCTGGGTGGCCATCTGTCAGGGATGATTTGAATACAATATTCCTGCTTCTTGGCAGAATGGGGTTGGACTGGATGATGGCCCAGGAGTTGGTCTCTTCCCACTCTTGGATTCTATCATTCTATGAAATACATTGACTTATTTATTTATTTCATGTCAAAAGCACGGCATAAACAAATAAGTATAAAACTGATAAAATAAAGGGAGCAGTATCTTAATTTCATATATTAGTATTACTATATCACAACATTATTATTATATACTATATAGTAATACAAATATATAAAATTACTAGCCGTCCCCTGCCACGTGTTGCTGTGGCCCAGTCTGTGTATGTGTGTTTTGTGTGTGTATATATATGTGTGTATGTGTGTGTATATATGTGTGTTTGCATATATATATGTGGATGTATATATGTGTGTGTGTATATATGTGTGTTTGCATATATATATGTGGGTGTATATATGTGTGTGTGTATATATGTGTGTTTATATTTGTGTGTTTATATGTGTACATGCATATTGTGTATATGTGTATATATATTTGTGTATATATATGTGTGTGTATATATGTATGTGTATATTTGTGTGTTTATATGTGTACATGCATATTGTGTATATGTGTGTATATATTTGTGTATATATACGTGTGTGTATATATGTGTGTTTATATTTGTGTGTTTATATGTGTACATGCATATTGTGTATATGTGTGTATATATTTGTGTATATATATGTGTGTGTATATATGTACGTGTATATTTGTGTGCTTATATGTGTACATGCATATTGTGTATATGTGTGTATATATTTGTGTATATATGTGTGTGTGTATATATGTGTGTTTATATTTGTGTATATATGTGTGTGTGTATATATGTGTGTTTATATTTGTGTGTTTATATGTGTACATGCATATTGTGTATATGTGTGTCTATATTTGTGTATATATGTGTGTGTGTATATATGTGTGTTTATATTTGTGTGTTTATATGTGTACATGCATATTGTGTATATGTGTATATATATTTGTGTATATATATGTGTGTGTATATATGTATGTGTATATTTGTGTGCTTATATGTGTACATGCATATTGTGTATATGTGTGTATATATTTGTGTATATATGTGTGTGTGTATATGTGTGTGTATATAAGTTTACAATACTCCTCCCTTTATTTTATCATATTTATACTAATACAATATAAATAATAATACTAATAATAATACTATCCATATAAATAAAAATGTAATGTTCGTTTGTGGGATTAACAGAACCCAAAAACCACTGGGCGAATTGACGCCAAATTTGGACACAAGACACCAACTAAACCATCAAAGTCAGGAGGGCTTTGATGGTGTCACTCACAAAGACACCATCAAAGCCCTCCCGACAGATGGCCATCCAGTTGGAGGGCAGCCCCAAAGGCCATCCAGTCCAACCTCATTTTACAGTAAAGGAAGACACCATCAAAGCCCTCCCGACAGATGGCCATCCAGTTGGAGGGCAGCACCAAAGGCCATCCAGTCCAACCTCATTTTACAGTAAAGGAAGACACCATCAAAGCCCTCCCGACAGGTGGTCAACCAGTTGGGAGTCCCAGAGGCCATCCAGTCCAACCTCATTTTACAGTAAAGGAAGACAAAGCCCTCCCGACAGATGGCCATCCAGTTGGAGGGCAGCCCCAAAGGCCATCCAGTCCAACCTCATTTTACAGTAAAGGAAGACACCATCAAAGACCTCCCGACAGGTGGTCAACCAGTTGGAAGGGAGTCCCAGAGGCCATCCAGTCCAACCCGATTTGCCTGTAAAGATGTCTGTCTGTCTATCCATCCTTCCATCCATCAATCACTCCATCTACCTACCTACCTATGTTCTATCCATCTACTTTCTGTTCCATCTATCAATGTCCCTTCTGTCTATTGCTTCAACTGGAATTCCTTTGTTTTCTGAGGGCCACAGCAACGCGTGGCAGGGTTCAGCTAATCTATATCAATAAAAATGTTCTGTGCATAATGAGTACCTTAAAAACAAAAGAACCAATGAATGAAATCACACCAAATTTGGCAACGAAACATCTCACTACACAAGGAGTGACCATCACTCAAAAAATTGTTATTTTGTCATTTGGGAGTTGTAGTTGCTGGGATTTATAGTTCACCTACCATCCAAGAGCATTCTGAACTCCACCAACAATGGAATTGAACCAAACTTGGCACACAGTTCTCCCATGACCAACAGAAAATACTGGAAGGGTTTGGTGGGTATTGACCTTGAGTTTGGGAGTTGTAGTTCACCTACATCCAGAGAGTACTGTGGACTCAAACAATGATGGATCTGGACCTAACTTGGCACAAGCACTCAATATGCCCAAATATGAACACAGATGGAGTTTGGGGGAAATAGACCTTGACATTTGGGAGTTGTAGTCACTGGGATTCACAGTTCACCTACAATCAAAGAGCGTTCTGAACCCCATGAACGACAGATTTGGGGCAAACTTCCCACACAGAACTCCCTATGACCAACAGAAAATACTTAAGGCCATCCAATCCAACTTCCTTCACCAGGGCAAGAAAACGTAAACAAAGTCCTCCTGACAGGAATAGAGATAGATAGATAGATATGATTCACACACAGAGAGATATAGTATCATAGATTTGAAAGGGACCCCTGAAGAAGGACAATGATATGTTGCCTGTTCCAGAGTAGGCAAACTGGACAATCTCCACAATAATACTGACAAAGAAACAGCAAGAAATACTGTTTACCCACAAGCAGAAAGAAATCACGTAGATTAGAAACCCACACTTTCTCATTACTTTATTTCCCAGATCAACAGACTGGGCCACAGCAACACCTGGCAGGGGACAGCTAGTATAATATATGGTATTATTAGTAGTACTGTATTACATTACAATATGATAGAAATCAACCCCTGGTAGCAACTGACTGATAGGGAAACGTACAAACAAAGCGCAACAGGCCAAATGCAAAACAATGCATTGCTACTTGCGTTGTGCGGAAACTAGCACTCCTCGGCAGAGAAAGCTAAAGGCCTTCCAAAGCTACGGCTGCCAGGACTGCATTGCATGCAACCATGGCAGGGAAGAGTGGTTCCAAAACTGTGTTAAGTCCCCAGTGCGGATGGGGAGGAAGGAAAAGCCAGACTCACCCAATGGTTGGTGCAAGGACCTTCCGCTTCGGCCAAGATGGTGCCCTTTTCGGAGAGAAGCACCACGTTGGAGTGGGTCCCTCCCCTGCAAGAAAGAACCAAAGAAAGACAGCAAAAATGAGCCCATGCAGAACCCAAAATCTTCATCATCATCTTGTTGTTGTTGGTGTTGTTAGATACACAACAAGATGAGTCCACAGCAAATAAGATCACTCCAGTGGCTCTGGTATTTGGTCAAATGGCGGACCCTTCCCAAGTTTCTCTGACTGTGTGAATAATGCATGCAGATCTGAGTAAGGTGGCCTTTTGCAGCTGGCAGGTGGTGATTTTGTCAGCGCCAATTGTTTTTAAGTGCTGGCCAAGGTCTTGAGGCGCTGCACCCAGTGTGCCGATCACCCCGCAGTGTGGGGCTACCTTGCCTGGCTTGGAAACAAACAAACAAACAAACAAATAATATTAAAACATATTTCTACAAATTCATCATGTTTGAACAAAGAACGAGCCAATTGCTTTTAAGTGCAGGCCAAGGTCTTGAGGCGCTGCACCCAGTGTGCCGATCACCATTGAGGCCCTTTTTGCCTGGCTTGGAAATAAACAAATAATATTAAAACGTATTTCTACAAAATATGTATTAAAATACACAGAACAAAGATTATCAAGTATAATAAGGCGCAAGTTTAAAATTCGTGATTAAAACCGGCTGCAAAAAGAGAGCGATCTTCAAGAGATTTTAGTGAATTGGGAGTCAAATGAGAAGAAAGCATTCGATGCATGAGAAACAAGGCATATCAAGGGAGTGAGTGCTCTATAGATTAAAAAGACCTAGTTGAATATTTCCTTCTTGTGTTTGAGCTTGGAAAAGTTACTTTTTTCTGCATTATGAGTCAGTTTCTGTACTATGGCCTCTGGGTAAGGGATTCCGGGAATAAGGGTGTGTCTACACCGCTGGGATAATGCACTTTAACCCCGCTTTAATTGCCAATGCGCAATGACATGGGGGGGGGGTCATGTTCAGCTTCACTTTGCCCAGTCTCTGTCCCCTTGGAGTGCTTCTGGTGTTGCTGCAAGAAGGCCCTCCATTGTGCATCATGTGGCGGGGCTCAGGTTGCATTGCAGCAGGTGGTCAGTGGTTGGCTCTTCTCCGCACTCGCATGTCGAGGATTCCACTTTGTGGCCCCATTTCTGGAGGTTGGCTCTGCATCTCGTGGTGCCAGAGCGCAGTCTGTTCAGCGCCTTCCAAGTCGCCCACTCTTCTGTGTGCCCAGGGGGGGGAGTCTCCCATTTGGTATCAGTTCTGGGTTTGAGCCTGCCACTTTTGGACTCTCGCTTGCTGAGGTGTCTCAATGAGTGTCTCTGTAGATCTTAGAAAACTATTTCTAGATTTAAGTCGTTGACGTGCTGGCTGATACCCAAACAAGGGATGAGCTGGAGATGTCTCTGCCTTGGTGCTTTCACTATTGGCTGCTACTTCCCGGCGGATGTCAGGTGGTGCAATACCGGCTAAGCAGTGTAATTTCCCCAGTGGTGTAGGGCGCAGACACCCCGTGATAATGCGGCATGTCTCATTAAGAGCCACATCCACTGTTTGAGCGTGGTGAGATGTGTTCCACACTGGGCATGCATACTCAGCAGCAGAGTAGCATAGCACAAGGGCAGATGTCTTTGCTGTGTCTGGTTGTGATCCCCAGGTTGTGCCAGTCAGCTTTCGTATGATATTGTTTCTAGCGCTCACTTTTTGCTTGATCTTCAGGCAGTGCTTCTTGTAGGTAAGAGCATGGTCCAGAGTGACTCCCAGGTATTTGGGTGTGCTGCAATGTTCCAGTGGGATCCCTTCCCAGGTAATGATCCTCAGAGCTCAGGATGCTTGTCTGTTCTTGAGATGAAAAGCACATGCCTGTGTTTTAGATGGGTTGGGGATCAGCTGGTTTTCCCTGTAATGGGCAGTAAGAGCACCTAGAGCTTCGGAGAGCTTCTGTTCAATCTCAAAGCTCCCTGCTTGAGTGGTGATGGCACGATCATCAGCATAGATGAAGCTCTCTGTCCCTTCTGGCAGTAGCTGGTCATTTGTGTAGATGTTGAACATGGGTGGAGCAAGCACGCTCCCCTGAGGCAAGCCGTTCTTCTGTTTCCGCCATCTGCTTCTCTGGCCCTGGAACTCAACAAAAAAGCTCCTGTTTGGTAGCTGATTTCCTTGAGTGGTGATGGCATGATCATCAGCATAGATGAAGCTCTCTGTCCCTTCTGGCAGTGGCTGGTCATTTGTGTAGATGTTGAACATGGATGGGGCAAGCACGCTCCCCTGAGGCAGGCCGTTCTTCTGTTTCCGCCATCTGCTTCTCTGGCCCTGGTACTCAACAAAAAAGCTCCTGTTCGGTAGCTGATTTCCTTGAGCGGTGATGGCATGATCATCAGCATAGATGAAGCTCTCTGTCCCTTCTGTTAGTGGCTGGTCATTTGTGTCGATGTTGAACATGGATGGAGCAAGCACGCTCCCCTGAGGCAGGCCGTTCTTCCGTCTCCGCCATCTGCTTCTCTGGCCCTGGTACTCAACAAAAAAGCTCCTGTTCGGTAGCTGATTTCCTTGAGTGGTGATGGCACGATCATCAGCATAGATGAAGCTCTCTGTCCCTTCTGGCAGTGGCTGGTCATCTGTGTAGATGTTGAACATGGATGGAGCAAGCACGCTCCCCTGAGGCAGGCCGTTCTTCTGTTTCCGCCCTCTGCTTCTCTGGCCCTGGAACTCAACCAAAAAGCTCCTGTTTTGTCGCAGGTTTCCTATGAGGCGGGTGAGGTGGTCGTCCTTTGTGATATTATACATTTTTCTCAGGAGGAGGCAGCGGTGGTTCACAGTCTCATAAGCCGCTGACAGGTCGAGGAAGACAGCTCCTGTGAAGCTAGAGCTGACAGACAGGAGCTCACCCCGTCTCGTGGATTCAAACCACTGACCCTCAGGTCAGCAGTTCAGCCAGCACCGCGGCACCTAGAAGTTAGTTTCTACAGTCTGTTTTTTCCCCTTTTTTGGAAAAAGTGATGATGGTGATGTCTTTGAGGTCTGCTGGGATTTTCTCGGTCACCCACTTGTCCAATGAGCGAGGGGAGTTGGTACCCCGTCGTCTCTCCCATCCATTCTCATGTAAACAACTTTGGAGATGCCAGATTTCGGGATGAGAAGTTCGTGCTTGCTTGCTTGCTTGTTTTCTCCAGAAAGGCCACCCCTCTCTGTCTTTGGGAAGAAAGGCCAAACTGTTCTCTCTCAAGAATGCATGGCTCCCGAATACACGGTTGCGTCAGAGGATGCAGAAAATTCCCCCAAATTAAAAATAAACTGCTTTTCGGGAAGTGGCAAAAGCAAGGCTTCCTCGTGACTTGGGTGGGGACCGGCTCTTGCACAAAGTGGGGAAGCCAAGGCACATCCGCACTGGATAACTAACACAGTTTTGCACCACTTTAATGAATGTGACTCCGTGCCATAGTTTTGCAAGGCTGAAAGGGTGTATCCACCCGGGAGGATTAGTTCAATTTCCCACCTGCCCTTGGCTGATATATATTTTATAGTATTGTGATTATTATTTATATCTATTATTATTATTATTATTATTATATTTATATTTTACAGTATTATAATTATGAGGTTGTGGCTATTTTATAGTATTTTATAGTATTGCTATTAGCATTGTTTATATGTACTATTAATATATTATTATTTATATTTTATATTATTATGATTATGAGGTTGTGCTTCATATATTTGATAGTATTGTTATTATTATTTATATGTATTATTAGCATTTTATTATTTATATGTTATAGTTTTATAATGATTATTTTAATCACCAATAAAAATATGTAATATATTATTATTATTTTGAGGTTATTATCATCATGTAGTATTATTGTTATGAGATGATTATTATCATCAATAATAATATTTAATATTTTATAGTATTATTATGAGGTCATTATCATCACCAACAATAATATGCAAAATTTTACATTATTATTAATTTTTGAACTTATTATCTTCATATATTATTATTATTATTATGAGATTATTATATCTTCAATATTATTATTATTTTGAAGCTATTATCACCAATAATAATATGTAATATTTTATATTATTATTATTTTGAGGTTATTATCATCATATAGTATTATTGTTTTGAGATTATTATTAATATTTTATATTATATTTATTATTTTGAGGTTATCATCATTGTTATGAGATTATTATTAATATTTATTATTATTATTATTGTTTTATCATCATCATGTATTATTGTTATGAGAAGATTAGCATCAATAATATATTATAATTATATTATAATCAATAATAATATTTTATATTTTATAGAATTATTATGAGGTCATAATATCACCAAAAATAACATGCAATATTTTACATTATTATTATTTTTTTGAACTTATTATCATCATATATTATGAGATTATCAATATTATTATTATTATTATTATTTTGAAGCTATTATCATCAATAATATGTAATATTTTATAGTATTATTATTATTTTGAGGTTATTATCATCACATAGTATTATTGTTATGAGATGATTATTAATATTTTATATTATTATTATTATTTTGAGGTTATCATCATCATGTATTATTGTTATGAGATGATTTTTAATATTTTATATTATTATTATTATTTTGAGGTTATCATCATCATGTATTATTGTTATGAGATGATTTTTAATATTTTATATTATTATTATTATTATTATGAGGTTATTATCATCAATAATAATATTTAATATTTTATAGTATTATTATGAGGTCATTATCATCACCAACAATAACATGCAATATTTTACATTATTATTATTTTTGAACTTATTATCATCATATATTATTATGAGATTATTATCATTACTTTTATTATTATTTTGAAGCTATTATCACCAATAATAATATGTAATATTTTATATTATTATTTTGAGGTTATTATCATCATGTAGTATTATTGTTATGAGATTATTATTATCATCAATAATATATTATTAATATTATTTTGAGGTTATTATCATCAATAATAATATTTAATATTTTATAGTATTATTATGAGGTCATTATCATCACCAACAATAATATGTAATATTTTACATTATTATTATTATTATTTGGAGTTATTATCATCATATATTATTATTATTTTGAAGCTATTATCACCAAAAATAATATGTAATATTTTACATTATTATTATTATTTTGAGGTTATTATCATCATATAATATGAGATGATTATTTTCATCAATAATAATAATAATAATATATTATTATTATGAGGTTATTATCATCAATAATAATATTTAATTTTTTGTAGTATTTTATTTTACATTATTACTATTATTATTTTGAACTTATTATCATCAATAATATGTAATATTTTATAGTATTATTATTATTATTTTGAGGTTATTATCATCATGTAGTATTATTGTTATGAGATGATTATTTTCATCAGTAATATATTATTATTATTATTTTACATTATTATTATTTGTTGAACTTATTATCATCATATATTATTATGAGATTATTATCAATATTATTATTATTATTATTTTGAAGCTATTATCATCAATAATAATATTTAATATTTTATAGTATTATTATTATTATTATTTTGAAGTTATTGTCATCATGTAATATTATTGTTATGAGATGATTATTTTCATCAGTAATATATTATTATTATTATTATTATTATTATGAGGTTATTATCATCAATAATAATATTTAATATTTTGTAGTATTTTATTTTACATTATTACTATTATTATTTTGAACTTATTATCATCATATATTATTATTTTGAAGCTATTATCATCAATAATAATATTTAATATTTTATAGTATTATTATTATTATTTTGAGGTTATTATCATCATGTAATATTATTGTTATGAGATGATTATTTTCATCAGTAATATATTATTATTATTATTATTATTATGAGGTTATTATCATCAATAATAATATTTAATATTTTATAGTATTTTATTTTACATTATTACTATTATTATTTTGAACTTATTATCATCATATATTATTATTTTGAAGCTATTATCATCAATAATAATATTTAATATTTTATAGTATTATTATTATTATTTTGAGGTTATTATCATCATGTAATATTATTGTTATGAGACGATTATTTTCATCAATAATAATATATTATTATTATTATGTTACATTATTATTATTTGTTGAACTTATTATCATCATATATTGTTATGAGATTATTATCAATATTATTATTATTATTATTTTGAAGCTATTATCATCAATAATAATATTTAATATTTTATAGTATTAATTATTATGAGGTTACTATCATCAATAATAATAATAATAATATATTTTATATTCCCATTATTGCAATTTTGAGGTTATTATTATCCTCCTCATCATCATAACAAACCACAATGTTTTTGCAGTTTAATAAAGTTTCCCCATGTTTCCAATGAGAGACCCAATTAGGAAACTCAGCAACACACTGTTTGCAGAGTGTAATCAAGGCAGAAAATAATGCATGTTGCCTTTGGATAGGCATTTTGCAGAAATAGGCTGTAAGCATGTGCATTTGGTAGAATTATGGTGCATTTCCGGCTGCATTGCATTGCATTGCATTGCATTGCCTTGCCTTGCCTGGGACTCACCCTTCAACGCCTCCGAAGAGCGACGCCATGCCTGCACAGGGAGTGGGCGGAGCTTGCCCGGGACTTCCGCGTCCAAGCCACGCCCTCCTTTTGGGACACGCCCCCTTGTGGGTGGGGCTTAAGCTTGCAAGAAGAAGAGGAGGAGGAAAGGAATTGCATCCTCAAAGTTGATTATTATTATTATTATTAATAATAATAATATTATTATTATTATTATTTATGTTTATTTATACCCCATTTTTCTCCATTTAGGAGACTAAAAGAGGCTTGTTATTATTATTATTATTATTATTATTGTATATTACTATCATAGTATTATTATTATTAATAATAATAATATTCTAATGATTAATTATTCTCCATTAGGAGACTAAAAGAGGCTCATTATTATTAGTATAACTGTATATTATCATATTATTATTATCATTAATGGTTATTTATAACCCACTTTTTCTCCAATTAGGAGACTAAAAGAGGCTTATTATTATTATTATTATTATTATTGTATATTACTATCATAGTATTATTATTATTAATAATAATAATATTCTAATGATTAATTATTCTCCATTAGGAGACTAAAAGAGGCTCATTATTATTAGTATAACTGTATATTATCATATTATTATTATTATTAATGTTTATTTATAACCCACTTTTTCTCCAATTAGGAGACTAAAAGAGGCTCATTATTATTATTATTATTATTATTATTATTATTGTATATTACTATCATAGTATTATTATTATTAATAATAATAATATTCTAATGATTAATTATTCTCCATTAGGAGACTAAAAGAGGCTCATTATTATTAGTATAACTGTATATTATCATATTATTATTATTATTAATGTTTATTTATAACCCACTTTTTCTCCAATTAGGAGACTAAAAGAGGCTTATTATTATTATTATTATTATTGTATATTAGGATCATAGTATTATTATTAATATTTTAATTATTATTTATATCCCGATTTCTTTCTCTATTAGGAGACTAAAAGAGGCTTATTATTATAATAATTATATATTACTATTATAGTATTATTATTAATAATAATAATAATAATATTTTAATGATTATTTATTTTCCATTAGGAGACTAAAAGAGGCTTATTATTATAATAATTGTATATTACTATCATAGTATTATTAATAATAATAATAATATTTTAATTATTATTTATAACCTGATTTTTTCTCAATTAGGAGACTAAAAGAGGCTTATTATTATAATAATTGTATATTACTATCATAGTATTATTAATAATAATAATAATATTTTAATTATTATTTATAACCTGATTTTTTTCTCAATTAGGAGACTAAAAGAGGCTTATTATTATAATAATAATTGTATATTAGCATCAGTATATTATTGTTTATGTTTCTGTTTATTTATGCCTCGCTTTTTCTCTCAATTAGGAGAATAAAAGAGGCTTATTATTTTAATTGTATATTAATATAATAGTATTATTAATAATATTTTAATGCTTATTTATACCCCAATTTTTTCTCAATTAGGAGACTAAAAAGAGGCTTATTACTATTATAATTGTATATTAGTATCATAGTATTAATAATAATAATAATAATAATAATAATAATTTTTAATGATTATTTATACTGATCTCTAACCCATCTAAAACACAGACATGTGCCTTTCACCTTAAGAACAGACAAGCATCCCGAGCTCAGGATTATTACCTGGGAAGGAAGGAATCCCACTGGAGAACTGCAGCACACCCAAGTACCTGGGAGTCACTCTGGACCGTGCTCTGACCTACAAGAAGCACTGCCTGAACATCAAGCAAAAAGTGGGTGCTAGAAACAATATCATACGAAAGCTGGCTGGCACAACCTGGGGATCACAACCAGACACAGTGAAGACATCTGCCCTTGCGCTGTGCTACTCTGCTGCTGAGTACGCATGCCCAGTGTGGAACAAATCTCACCACGCTAAAACAGTGGATGTGGCTCTGAATGAGACATGGAGTGCCTGCGCCTTACACCATGGGAGAAATTATACTGCTTAGCCGGTATTGCACCACCTGACATCCGCCGGGAAGCAGCAGCCAATAGAGAAAGGACCAAGGCAGAGACATCTCCAGCTCATCCCCTGTTTGGGTATCAGCCAGCACGTCAACGACTTAAATCTAGAAATAGTTTTCTAAGATCTACAGAGACACTCGCTGGAACACCTCAGCAAGCGAGAGTCCAAAAGTGGCAGGCCCAAACCCAGAACTGATACCAGATCAGAGACTCCCCCCTGGGCACACAGAGGACTGGGCGACTTGGAAGGCGCTGAACAGACTGCGCTCTGGCACCACGAGATGCAGAGCCAACCTCAAGAAATGGGGCCACAAAGTGGAATCCTCGACATGTGAGTGCGGAGAGGAGCAAACCACTGACCACCTGCCGCAATTCAACCTGAGCCCGGCCACATGATGCACAAGGGAGGATCTCTTTGCGGCAACACCAGAGGCACTCCAAGGGGACAGAGACTGGCCAAAGGACATTTAATAGAATACCAAGCTTGCAATTTTTTTATTTTGTCTGTTTGTTTGCTTTGTTCTGTTAGAAATGTAAACAAAATAAAACCCTGACTATGACTGCCATGGCAAGGGATGTCCAGCAGGGGGAGATCCAGGGTCAGGCTTGCAGCCTAGGAAGCCAAACAAAGGGTCTTCATGGCCAGAATCACTGGGTTGCTGTGAGTTTTCCGGGCTGCCTGGCCATGTTCCAGAAGCATTCTCTCCTGACGTTTAACCCGTATCTCTGGCAGGTTGTGAAGTCTGTTGGAAACTAGGCAAGTGTGGAATAATGTCCAGGATGGGAGGAAAAACTCTTGTCTGTTGGAGGCAAATGTGAATGTTGCCATTGGCCAGTTTGATTAGCATTGGATAGCCTTGCAGCTTCAAGGCTTGGCTGCTTTTTGCCTGGGGGAATCCTTTGTTGGGAGGTGATTAGCTGGCCCTGATTGTTTCTTGTCTGGAATTCCCCTGGTTTTGAGTGCTGTTCTAGACCTTGCAACCTCTGAGGATGCATATTATTATTATTATTATTATTATTATTATTATTATTATGGAAATTTGGACGACGGATTGGATCACGACTCTAGTGATGAGATGCATTGTGTTGTCTATTGTTGTGTCAATATTGTATATTATGCTTTTATGGTTTTAAATTGTATATCGTTGATTGATTCTTATCCTTGTTGTAAACCGCGTTGAGTCGCCTGTTGGGCTGAGAAACTGCGGTATACAAGTAAAGTAAATAAATAAATAAATAAATAAATTATTATTATTATTATTATTATTATATTTATTATAAAATTGTTATATTATCATGATATTATATTCTATTATTCTATTAATATATTTTTATTATTATATTAAATTATTATTATATTCTTTTAATATTACTATTTTATATTATTCTATTATTATTCTATTATTGTTATATTCTATTATTATATTCTGCTATTCTATTAATATATTTTCTATTATTATATTACATAATTATTATATAATTATAATATTCTTCTATTCTATTGTTATAGCCTATTATTATAATATACTATCCTATTAATGTAATTTTATAGTTATATTATATTATTCTTCTATTATTATTCTATTATTGTTATATCCTATTATTATATTCTACTATTCTATTAATATATTTTCTATTATTCTATTACATTATTATTATATTCTTTATTATATTACTATTTTATATTATGTTAATATATTCTGCTATTCTATTATTATTCTATGATTGCTAGATCCTGTTATTATATTCTTCTATTCTATTATTCTATTCTATTCTATTATTGTTATATCCTATTATTATATTCTACTATTCTCTTAATATATTTTCTATTATTATATTACATGATTATATTCTTTATATTACTATTTTATATTATTGTATATTCTATTATTATATTATTATTCTTTTCTATTCTTCTATTATTGTTATATCCTATTATTATACTCTACTATTCTATTAATATATTTTCTATTACTATATTACATTATTATTATTATAGTCTTTATTATAATACCATTTTATATTATAGTCTTCTTCTATTCTATTATTCAATTATTGTTATATCCTAGTATTATATTCTATTAATATATTTTCTATTATTATATTCTGTTAATTCTTATATTACTATATTATATTATTATATTCCTCTATTCTATTATTATTCTATTATTCCTACATCCTATTATTATATTCTATTATTCTATTAATATATTTTCTATTATTATATTATATTAATTATTATATCACTATATTATATTATTATATTCCTCTATTCTATTATTATTCTATTGTCGCTATATCCTATTATTATATTCCTCTATTCTATTATTATTCTATTATTGCTACATCCTATTATTATATTCTATAATTCTCTTAATATATTTTCTATTATTATATTAATTATTATATTACTATATTGTATTATTATATTCTACTATTCCATTAATATATTTTCTATTATATTATACTATTATATTAATTATTATATTACTATTTTATATTATATTATATTCTTCTATTCTATTATTAGTCTATTATTGCTATATCCTATTACTATATTCTATTATTCTATTAATATATTTTCTATTATTACATTATAGTAATTATTATATTTATTGTATTATCTGACCTTGAGGGAGCTGGGGGTGGTAACGGCCGACAGGGAGCTCTGGCGTGGGCTGGTCCATGAGGTCACGAAGAGTCGGAGACGACTGAACGAAGGAACAACAAAATATTGTATTATATTATTATATTCCTCTATTCTATTATTATTATATTGTTGCTATATCCTATTATTATATAGAGAATATATTATTATATTATAGAGAATATATTATTCTCTTAATATATTTTCTATTATATTATATTATTCTATTAATTATTATATTACTATTTATATTATCTTATTATATTCTTCTATGCTATTATTATTCTATTATTGTTATATCCTATTATTATATTATTATATTCTACTATATTCTATTGTTATTATATTATTTATTATATTACTATGTTTATAT